TGTGCCTTCAGTATCTCAATTGCTCGGCAAAATTTTTCATCCATATAGTGTATGGATTTCCTTATCTCATGAATTGGTTTCTCTGTGTTTCTGAGTAATTTTGTGGTCATTCTTTTGAGTTCATCCCAGGCATTTCACCAGCCTCTTTGTCTTCACACTCTGATTTGGAGCGCTATGCTGCTTTTGGGGAGTCATGCTGTCTGCCTTGTTTCTTGTGTTTCTGCATTTATTCTTAGGCGTTCGTGGAAACACTTGTTGGATTTCTCCTCTAATGGGTTTTGTCCTTGAACTGTGCCTCTGTGGCTTAGTGGAGTGTCTGCGCCTTCAGTGGGTTTCGGGGCACGTGCGGGTGGGGCCAGGGAGCTCTGGTCGGTCTTGAGGATGGGGTGAGAACTCCAGGGGGCAGATCTGCTCTGTTGTCAGCGGGCGTGAAGGAATGATCCCGCCTGTTGGCCTCACCTCCTCTTTCTGAGGTGATGCATGCCGGGGTTAGCCCAGGGTGGGTGCAGCCCCCCACCCACACAGGTGCATACACTGCACAAAGGATCGGGGTGGGTCTCTGTGAGCACGGAGCCCTCTGCAGTGACCCTCGGCGGTCAGGAGCTCTGAGCCTCTGATGCCAGACACAGTGACTGCCCGGAGAGCCAGCTACTCCCCACACTCACAGAATCGCCACAGTCAGCCTGCAGAGGATCCACTGGCAGCCCTGTGGGCCTCCCTCATCCACGGAGGGAGCAGAGACATTCCCAGAGCCCTCTGCCTGTGGGCGCACCTCCTTGGCAGTGAGCCCCAGAGCCTGTGATAGGCTGAGGGGACGGTGGCTCCTCACAGTCCTGAGTGGATGCCCAGCCCCTGCCAACCCTCTAAGCCAGACTCAAAGTCAGCAGGGAGCGTGGATTTCCCCTCTGGCAAAACCCCCGGTCACGCTGCAGCCTCTATTGGCGTCGAGATGGCACCCATGTCGGGGGCGGGGGGAAAGAAACGTGTGTTCCCCTCACTGGATTGGGGGTACCCTGCCCCCCACGAGGGCTCCAGGCCAGACTCAAAGTCAGCGTGGTCTGCAGGTTCTCCCTCAGGCAGGATCCCCCCTGGCACGGGCCGCCCTGTCTGCTCCCCTGCTCAGAAACCCCAGCTGCGGGAGGTGGTGTCCCCGCTCACTACCGCGCGTCTGCTCTGCCCACGCCGCTCCGTGCCGTCCTCTCTCTTCCGTGGAGCTCCCACCGCAGGCTCCTGTCCAGCTGTCCCTGGAATGCGCTTCCTCCCTTCCTTCTGCTGTCTTTTCCCTTTTTTTTTTTTTTTTTTTTGACAGGCAGAGTGGACAGTGAGAGAGAGAGACAGAGAGAAAGGTCTTCCTTTGCAGTTGGTTCACCCTCCAATGGCCGCCGCGGCCGGTGCGCTGCAGCCGGCGCACCGTGCTGATCCGAAGGCAGGAGCCAGGTGCTTCTCCTGGTCTCCCATGGGGTGCAGGACCCAAGCACTTGGGCCATCCTCCACTGCACTCCCGGGCCACAGCAGAGAGCTGGCCTGGAAGAGGGGCAACTGGGACAGAATCCGGTGCCCCAACCGGGACTAGAACCCGGTGTGCTGGTGCCGCAAGGCGGAGGATTAGCCTAGTGAGCCACAGCGCCAGCTTCCCTTTTCTTTTTTAAAAATGCTTTTTAAATTTGATGACAGTTGTATGTATTTATGGTGTACAACATGTTTTGAAATATGGATAAAAGGGAGCTTCAAAAAGTTTATAGAAAAACACAATTAAAAAAGAATGGAGGGGCCGGTGCTTTGGCGCAGTGGGTTAATCCTGTGCCTGTAGCGCCGGCATCCTGTATGGCGCTGGTTCGAGTGCCGGCTGCTCCTCTTCCGGTCCAGCTCTCTACTAAGGCCTGGGAAAGCAGCAGAAGACGGCCCAAGTGCTTGGGTCCCTGCAAATGCACAGGTCACTCCCCAGATGCTGGTTCAGCCCCCAGATGCCTGCAGCTGCCAGAGCTGGGCTGTGGTCGAAGCCAAGAACAGGAGCCCAGTGCAGTTTCCCACGTGGGTGCAGGGCCCCGACCACCTGAGCCGTCACGGCTGCCTCCCAGGGTGCACAGCAGCAGGAAGCTAGAATCAAGAGTGGAGCCTGAAGCAAACCTAGGCACCCTGGCCAGGACTGAGCAAGGCTGAAGCCGGGAGCTTCATCCAGGCCTACCACATGGGTGGCAGGGGCCCAAGCTCTGGGCCATCTTCTCTTGCTTTTCCCAGGCCCTTATCAGGGAGCTGGATGGGAAGTGGAGCAGCCGGGACGTGAACTGGTGCCTACATGGGATGTAGGTGTTGTAGGCAGCAGCTTTATCTGCTATACCACAACGCTGGACCCATCTCTCGTTCTCAAACTGGTGGATTTGCCACATTTATCTTTATTGTTATTGCTGATCCACATGGATTTGTGGGTTGATTTTCAGCCCTTTGCTCTGTGCTCTGTGTTTGGCTTCTATCACTGTTTTCTCGTTCTTTCTCCCTTCCCTAGCTGTACCCAGAAAGAGAAGGATATGTGAAGAATGACTCCCATGACTCCAATGACTTCCAGCCTGCCACATGGAAGTACCTGGTCCCTGCCACCACATGGGCGACTTGGAAGCAGCTCCAGACCCCCTAGCTTTGGGCAGGCCCAGCCCTGGCCCCTGTGGGTGTCTGGATAGTGAACCAGTGACTGGAGATCTCTGTTTCTGTCTCTGTGTCTCTGCCTTCTAAGTAAAATGAAAATAAAGAAATCAAACTTTGATCATGAACTACCTGGAGCCTAATTGCTTTAATTATCTCGGTTGAGTTCTATTCTTGTGGCTTGGGAAGCGGTATATATTCTGTCACAGAATGGAGTTTCTGTAACCACTTCGTAGCTCAAGTTGGTTGACAGTGGTTTTTATTGTTTTTTTTTTTTTAAAGATTTATTTAGTTGAAATAAGTAAATAATTTATTTATTTCAGAGTTATAGAGAGGCAGAGGCAGAGAGAGCGAGCGCGAGATCTTCCGTCCACTGTTTGATTCCCCAGATGGCTGCAGTGGCTATAGCTGAGCTGATCTAAGGCCAGGAGGGGGGGGAGGACTTGGGCCATCTTCCACTGCTTTCCCAGGTCATAGCAGAGAGCTGGATCAGAAGTGGAGCAGCTGGGACTCGAACCAGCGCCCACATGGGATGCCAGCACTGCAGGTGGTGGCTTTACCCACCACAACACAGCGCTGGCCCCAACAGTGTTCTTACAGATTTTCTGTCTATTTTTTCTGTCAATCATGGAGAGGTGTTAGAATCTCCATTATAATTTGGATTTGTCTGTTTTCTCTCATTTGTATTAGAGTTGGCTTTGTAGATTTTGAAGCTCTGTTGTTAGGGGATAAATGTTTAGGATTGCTATGTTTGGGAAACCTGTTTCGTCCAGTATAGTTTCCACAACTTTCCATGACTAATGTTAGCCCTGTTTTTCTTTCCTCATTCTTTGACTAAGCACATTCAGCCGTTCCGTCATTTCTTAGATGTATGAATTGTAGTTACTCTAACTGTCTAGACGTTATCTCCCGATTCCTTCTTCTGCGTCGTTTCCAGGTCAGTTTGTATCGATTGAGCCAGCCTCATTGTAAGTTGAATTTTCTTGCTTCTTTGCATCTAGAAATCTTTTTTTAAGATTTATTTTATTTTTATTTGGAAGGCAGAGTAACAGAGAAATCTTCCATCTGCTAACTCACTCCCCAGTTGGCCCCAGTGTTAGGCGAGGCCAGACCAAAGCCAGGAGCCAGAGCTTCATCTGGTCCCCCTGTGGGTGACAGGCCCAAGCACCTGGGCCATTTTCTGCTGCTTTCCAGGCTCATCAGCAGGGAGCTGGGACTTGAATAGGAACACTGATGAGAGATGCGGGCATCGCAGGTGGTGGCCTACCCCACTGTGCCACTGTGCCACTGTGCAGGCCGGGCCTGGACCTGTGACTGGACCCAGGGGCTGCCCTCTTGCCGTGTTGATACAGACGTTACCGCCTCGTCAGTCTTGAGCTCTGTGCTGCTGCGAGGCCAGGTGACTCGGGCACGCTCCCTGGTGCCTTGGCTGCCGGGAGCGGGCGTGGTTCCTGGTGCCTTGGCTGCCGGGAGCGGGCGTGGTTCCTGGTGCCTTGGCTGCCGGGAGCGGGCGTGGTTCCTGGCTGAGTGGAACTGCAGATGCCGCTGCTGCCAGCCCCTTCTGGTGGCCCTTTCCCCAGTCCTGGCCAGTTTCTTCTCACATGTGGCCCTTGCATCGCTCTAGCAAATCACCACAAACCTCTCTAAGTTCTCGGGGTGAGCAGCCTGATGTGGCGTTCACCCGGCTGCCGTCCTCCAGCCGTCTGCCGGCTCTAGTGCTCTGGTGCTGCTCCTGCTCTTCAGTTCGTTTGCGGATTTTGGTTCTTGGCTTCTGTGGGACCAAAGTCCAGCTTCAGTTTCCCTGTCCCAGAGCCGCCTCCGTCTTCACAGCCGGCTGCAATGGATGGAGTCCTCCCTCTGCCTCGCTTCACTTTAAAGGTTATTTATTTATGTGAAAGGCAGAGTTACAGAGAGGCAGAGAGAGAGATCCGTCAATTGCTCTTCCATCCACTGCCTCACTCCCCAAATAGCTGCAGCGACCAGGGCTGAGCCAGGCCCACGCCAGGCCCACGCCAGGCCCAAGCCAGGAGCCAGGGGCTTCTTCCAGGTCTCCCACGTGGGTGCAGGGGCCAGAGGACTTGGGCCGTCTTCCGCCTCTTTCCCAGGCACGTTGGCACGGAGCTGGATCAGAAACGGAGCAGTGTCTCCACCTGGTGCCCATATGGGATGCCAGCGCTGCAGGCAGAGGCTCAGCCCGCCCGACCACAGGGAGGCCTGGCCCTGGAGACACATGCTGTGCCGGCTCCTGGTGTCTGCCAGACTCCCTTCCCTGCTGGCAGCCACTTGACCCTTCGCCCTTCCTGCCTCCTGGCGGTGCGCTCAGAGGGTGCGCGTTCACGTCTGGTTTCTCTTGCTGCTTGCAGATGCTCCTCAGGAAGAAAGAGGCCATGTGTTTCCAAGCCAGGGCGCTCCCTCTGCCTGCAGTCTCCTGAGACTCCTGCCGGCCTCGGGTTTGTCCATTTTTCTTTCCTGTTGATTGTGCTCGTGTGGGCTCTATCTTATTTACTTATTCTTTAAAATATTGATTTAATTATTTGAAAGGGAGCGTGAGAGACAGAGAGAGAGAGCTCTTCCATCTGCTGGTTCACTCCCCAAATGACAGCAATAGCCAGGGCTGGGCCAGGCCAAAGTCGGGAGCTAGGAATTCCCTCTGGCTCTCCAGCAGAAGTGGCAGGGGCCAAGCACTTGGGCTTTCTTCCCCTGTTTCCCAGGCACATTGGCAGGGGCTGGATCAGGAGCAGAGCAGCTGGGACTCGTACCAGTGCTTTGATACGGGATGCTGGCATTGCAGGCGACAGCTTAGCTCGCCGCGCCACAATGCTGGCCCCATGGGCTGCTATTTCAAAACCTGTCACCCTAGAAAGTGGGTTAAAGCTCCAGCCTGCAGAGCCGGCATCCCATATGGGTGCCAGTTCGAGTCCTGGCTATTCTACTTCCGATCCAGCTCCCTGCTGATGTACAGGGGAAAGCAGTAGAAGATGGCCTAAGTCCTTGGGCCCCTATGCCCACATGGGAGACCTGAAAGAAGCTCCTGGCTTCAGATCAGCTCAACTGTGGCCATTGCAGTCATTTGGACAGTGAACCAGCAGATGGAAGACCTCTCTCTCCCTCTGGCTCTACCTCGCTATAACTCCTGTCTTTCAAATAAATAAATTTATTTGCATGACACAGCTGCAGAGAGAGATTCGTCTTCCATCCGTTGGTTTATTCCGTAGATGGTCTCAATAGTCTGGGCTGAGCCAGGCCAATACCAGAAGCTTCATCTGGGTCTCCACGTGGGTGCAGGGGCCCAAGAGCTTGGGCCATCTTCTGCTGCTTTCCCCAGGCCATTAGCAGGGAGCTGGATCAGTAGTGTAACGAGCCGGCGCCACGGCTCACTAAGCTAATCCTCCGCCTTGCGGCGCCGGCACACCGGGTTCTAGTCCCGGTTGGGGCGCCGGATTCTGTCCCAGTTGCCCCTCTTCCAGGCCAGCTCTCTGCTGTGCCCCGGGAGTGCAGTGGAGGATGGCCCAAGTGCTTGGGCCCTGCACCCCAGGGGAGACCAGGAGAAGCACCTGGCTCCTGCCTTCGGATCAGCGTGGTGCGCCGGCCGCAGCGGCCATTGGAGGGTGAACCAACGGCAAAGGAAGACCTTTCTCTCTGTCTCTCTCTCACTGTCCACTCTGCCTGTCCAAAAAAAAAAAGTGTAACGGGGGCTGCAGCTGTGGTGTGGCGGGTAAGGCTGACGTCTGCAGCGCTGGCATCCCATATGGGCGTTGGTTCGCGTCCCAGCTGCTCCACTTGTGATCCAGTTCTCTGCTATGGTCTGGGAAAGCAGCAGAAGATGGCCCACGTCCCTGGGCTCCTGTAACTGTGTGGAGACCTGGAGGAAGCTCCTGGTTCCTGGCTCCTGGCTTCAGGCACAGCTCTGGCTGTTGTGGCCATCTGGGGAGTGAACCAGTGGGTGGCAGACCTCTCTCTCTCTGCCTCTTTGTAACTCTGCTTTTCAAATAAATAAATAAATCTTTAAAAAGAAATGAAAAGGAAATGGAGCAGCCAGGACATGAACTGATGCCCGTGTGGGATGCCGGTGTTGCAGGTGGCGGCTTTACCTGCTGTACCTCACTGGGCTTTTGGATGTGGGCGGATGCTTGAGATGAGTCTGCCTTCCTGGCCTGGATTCTTACTCCCTAACTCCCAGGATTTGCATGACCTCTCACCCTGCCTGTCCCCCTCACCCCCAGCTCAGGGTGGGCACTGTGTCTTCCCATTTTCCTGATGTTTTAGGGAGGAGTGATGGCAGAGAGGTGATGCAGAGGTTGAAGGAACTGTCAGAGAATGGAGGACGCAGGAGTCAGTGAAGCCAGCCTCCTTGTCGGGGCAGGGTGCAGGGTGCAGGGTGCAGGGGTGGGGGACCCTGACAGGGCCTGGGCGCGTGCCCACAGGCAGAGGCAGAGGCAGAGGGCTGTGTGTGTTGATGCCTGTCTGTGCGGGAGGCACTCCGAGGTGTTCACAGGGTGAGCAGGGAGCTGCTTGTCTAGGCTGACGGTGGTGGACAAGCCCTGCTGGCCAGTTCACGGGCAGGGCTGCCAGGTGCTGAGGGACAGAGCAGAGCCGGAGTCTGAGGAGAAGGGGTCCTTTCCCCTCGAACAGCTCAACTGAAATGTGGCAGAGAGATTTCCCGTAGAACAAATTCACGTTACAGGAAGTAGTAACTTTTGGAAGAATTAGGTGTTGTGGGGGCTCATGGATGAATGTTTTGTTATTCTAGGTTGGAGAAGCTGCCCCGTCCCCACTGGGTGAAGCCAGGACCTCAGAAATGACCGAGTCCTATGTGAAGAGTGAGTGTGCGGTGTGGGCGGGACCCAAGTGCTTCCAGGCCCCCACAGATGGGGCTGCCCCTTGCTGGGGCCGGTGGGATTGACACGGCTCTGGGATGCCTGGCGTCCCCATCAGGGCTCTGAGCCTGCCGGGTTCTGGTGTAGAGCAGCCACGGTGCCAGGCAGCTGTGGCTTGAAGGAGTCTGTCTTGAAGAAGCTGCTTTCTCCAGTAAGCAAAGTGCTGTCTCAGGCCATTTGGATTGCTGTAATGAAATGCCGTAGACGGGGCGGTTTACAGACTGACTTACAGAAGGAGAATGGCAGAGAGAGGCAGAGACCGATTTGCTGTCTGCTCGTTCACTCTTGAAATGCCCACGACAGCTGGGCCTTGGTCAGGCCAAGGCAGGACCTCCATCCATGGGAGGCGGATCCATCATCTGCTGCCTTCCAGGGTGTGCATGAGCAGGAGCTGGGCCAGAAGTGGAGCAGCTGGGACTCAAACCAGACACTCGCACACGAGCTACAGCAAACGCCTGCTCCCGCGGGGCCCGCCGTGGAGTGAAGTCCAGCGTGTGCACTCCGAAGGGGGCCAGCATTCAGGCTGTGTTGGGCTGGTCCGGAGCAGCTGCTGAAGCCGAGCACACAGCTTTTCCTTCGGGCTCGGCCCGACCGCTCTGAATGGGAGGGGTCCTTGGGTCGCTGTGCCTTCCCCGCCTTGACGCAGCCTTGGCATGGAGCTGGTGCCTGCCTCACTGGCCCTGCCTCCCCCACAAAGTCCCACAGCCCCCCTGAGGTGGAAACCCCCCACATGCTCCACCTCCTCCCTCCTGTGCCGCGCCTGGGGGTTCTGTCGGTGCCACTGCGGCACAGCTGAGGCTGAGGGCCACTGAGAGACCTGAGGAGTCTGGGTGCAGGCAAGGGCTGGGCAGAGGAGAGGCGGGAGCATGCACTGCCCACAGATGGCCCGAGCCGTGTGAGGGCCCGAGATCAGCGGGAGGGCCCTGCATGGAGGGGTGGGTGCAGACCACAGGGCGGGCCAGCTTTGTTAAACTTAGATATGAGTGGATCTCCTTAATTTGGGCGGCCTATTTGCTGAACTATTAAGTGTGGAGGTGGGGGCTGTTCAGATGCAATGTCCTGCTCATGGCGGACTCCTGCTGGTGGAGCAGAGGGCATGGCCAGCCCCGCAGGGTCTTGTCTCTGCCTGGGGCAGTGCTTATGGCCGGCTGAGGCCTGGCCTGGCCTGTGAGCACTGCCTTCTTTCAGTGTCGTGAGGCAGGGTCTGGCTTTATTCCTTCCTTGCTCTCCGTGGGTTCTGCTCGTTAGGTGCCTGTCCACCCCCAGGTGACACAGTATGAGATGGAGATGTCCACACCTGTCCTGGGACGTGAGGGGTGTGGTCCTGCACATGGACCCTGAGGAACCTGTCCGGCCGAGCCCAGCCGGGCAGTGAGCCCAAGGCCTCATGATCATGACTGGCAGAACCTCGTGTGTGGGGAGGGCAGCTGGGCCTGTCTTCTGAAGGCCTAACCCATGTATCCCAGGCAGGCAGCGGCCCCTGGTGCTCCCGACCCCAAGGGGTGGAAGGCAGGCACACTGTGCGTAGCTGCAGGTGCCAGTAGGCATGGCCGTTCTGTGGGGTGGCCCTAAGGCTTCGGGCGTGGTGCCGGAATGTGCCACCCCCACGGGGCCCCAGGCTGACGGCATCTGCCTGGGGCGGCAGTTGTGCCACAGTAAAGAGGCTGCTGGACCGCGTTTGGTGACAGGCTTGTTTCCACAGAGCTGTCCTATCCCCTGCTGGAGGCTGTCACGGACAAGGACCCCGCTGTGCAGGAGCAGGTGTGCAGGGCCCTGTGCTCCCTTGGGGAGGTGCGGCCGGGGGAGATGCTGCGTGCCTGTGAGGAGTTCCTGCGGCACCGGGACAAGGTATGTCTGCCTGCCCGGATGGGGACACCCTCGGGGCACCCTTTGCTGGGCCTTCCTGGCTTGGGGGCGCACAGCCCGGTCGGAAGCAGTGGGCTGCATGTGTGCTGGCTGTTGGCAGAGAGCTGCCCCTGGGCTCCCTCAAGGTCTGGCGTCTCAGGATAGAGGGCCCCCTCGTCCTGTGCCTGGAGTGTGACTGTGCCCCAACAGGCTCACTGGCCTGTCTGGAGACTGGCCATCCCCACTGCAGCTCTGGGGCTGGTGAGCAGGGGCTGCCTGCCATTCCCTTTGCTCCAGGTGGCGGACCAAGCTCCTGCCCCAGGGAGGGAAGGTTGTCTCTGTCCCCTTGGTGCCGGTGTCTGGGAAGACTTAGCAGGGCCGTGGAGAGCTGGTCTGAGGTTTTAGGCTGCATTGCCCCCGAGGCGGGAGCTGCCCCGGGGAGGGGGCTCTGGAGCACACTGTCCGCCCCGTGCGTTGCTAACTTGGCAGAATTGTGAGACGGGTATGCTCCCTCTGCCCGCGGGTGTCAGGTTGCCGGTTCAAGCCCCCGTGGGAGTGAGCGACTCAGCTGTCGCGGCTCACTGGACTTCTGCCTCTGCTGGGCCTTGGCAGAGCCTGAAATTGTTGGGTTCTTGTTTCTCTTGGTGCAGGGTTTTGTAGTCTCAGAGGCCCCTCATTCTTTTTGTTTTATTTGATATTTTGATATGTAAAAGGGGGCCTCATCAGGTGAGTGTTTCTCCAGGAAATGGCCTGGTTCCGAGAGGATACCTAGAACTGTGCTATGGTCTGGTTCCGAGAGGATACCTAGAACTGTGCTGTGGCCTGGTGAGGCCGCCTGTGCTTTCTCCCCCTGGGCATGGGGGGCTGTGCTTTCTCTCCCTGGGCATGGGGGGCCATCCTTACTCTCCCTGGGCATGGGGGGCTGTCCTTACTCCCCTGGGCATGGGGGGCCGTCCTTACTCCCCTGGGCATGGGGGGCCATCCTTACTCCCCCTGGACATGGGGGGCCATCCTTACTCCCCTGGGCATGGGGGGCTGTGCTTTCTCCCCCTGGGCATGGGGGGCCATCCTTACTCCCCCTGGGCATGGGGGGCTGTGCTTTCTCTCCCTGGGCATGGGGGGCCATCCTTACTCCCCTGGGCATGGGGGGCCGTCCTTACTCCCCCTGGACATGGGGGGCCATCCTTACTCCCCTGGGCATGGGGGGCCGTCCTTACTCCCCCCGGGCATGGGGGGCTGTCCTTACTCCCCCCGGGAATGGGGGGCTGTCCTTACTCCCCCTGGGCATGGGGGGCCATCCTTACTCCCCCTGGACATGGGGGGCCATCCTTACTCCCCTGGACATGGGGGGCCGTCCTTACTCCCCCTGGGCATGGGGGGCCATCCTTACTCCCCCTGGACATGGGGGGCCATCCTTACTCCCCCTGGACATGGGGGGCCATCCTTACTCCCCTGGGCATGGGGGGCCGTCCTTACTCCCCCTGGGCATGGGGGGCTGTGCTTTCTCTCCCTGGGCATGGGGGGCCGTCCTTACTCCCCTGGGCATGGGGGGCCATCCTTACTCCCCTGGGCATGGGGGGCCATCCTTACTCCCCCTGGGCATGGGGGGCCGTCCTTACTCCCCTGGGCATGGGGGGCTGTCCTTACTCCCCCTGGGCATGGGGGGCCATCCTTACTCCCCCTGGGCATGGGGGGCTGTGCTTTCTCTCCCTGGGCATGGGGGGCCATCCTTACTCCCCTGGGCATGGGGGGCCGTCCTTACTCCCCCTGGACATGGGGGGCCATCCTTACTCCCCTGGGCATGGGGGGCCGTCCTTACTCCCCCCGGGCATGGGGGGCTGTCCTTACTCCCCCCGGGAATGGGGGGCTGTCCTTACTCCCCCTGGGCATGGGGGGCCATCCTTACTCCCCCTGGACATGGGGGGCCATCCTTACTCCCCTGGACATGGGGGGCCGTCCTTACTCCCCCTGGGCATGGGGGGCCATCCTTACTCCCCCTGGACATGGGGGGCCATCCTTACTCCCCCTGGACATGGGGGGCCATCCTTACTCCCCTGGGCATGGGGGGCCGTCCTTACTCCCCCTGGGCATGGGGGGCTGTGCTTTCTCTCCCTGGGCATGGGGGGCCGTCCTTACTCCCCTGGGCATGGGGGGCCATCCTTACTCCCCTGGGCATGGGGGGCCATCCTTACTCCCCCTGGGCATGGGGGGCCGTCCTTACTCCCCTGGGCATGGGGGGCTGTCCTTACTCCCCCTGGGCATGGGGGGCCATCCTTACTCCCCCTGGGCATGGGGGGCCATCCTTACTCCCCCTGGGCATGGGGGGCCGTCCTTACTCCCCCTGGGCATGGGGGGCCATCCTTACTCCCCTGGGCATGGGGGGCTGTCCTTACTCCCCTGGGCATGGGGGGCTGTCCTTACTACCCCTGCAGTGGGTTTGTGGTTCCAACAGGACAGTGGCTGGAGGTTGATGGCAGTGTGCTGTCTGCAAGGTGCATATGTGTGTAGTGCGTGTGCAGTGTGGTGTGTGTGTGTGCCTGTAGGTGACTCCTGCAGACTCTCTGGGCTCACCCTTCCTTGGGTGGCTGAAAGGCTCCCTTGCCCTTGACAGACGCTGGGGCTGACCCTGCTGTTAGAGGAAGTCACCAGAACGCACCACAGATAACAAGAGACTGTTACGTTTAGTAATTTGTAGCCAAAAATGTTTAAGATGTTTACTTGTTTTTATTAATTTGAAAAGCAGAGCGACAGAGATAGAGACGCAGAGACAGAGATCTTGCGTCTGCTGGCTCACTTTCCAGATGCCCACAGCAGTGGCAGCTGGGCCAAGCTGAAGCCAGGGGCCAGGAACTCCATTTGGGTCTCCCAGGTGGGTGGCAGGGGTGCGTGTACTTGAGCCACCATCACTTGCTGCCTCCCCGGGTGTGGGGTGTGTGTTAGCAGGAAGCTGGAGTCCGGGCAGAGCCGGGGAGTGGACTCAGGCACTGCAGTGGGTTGCAGTTGTGTCCGTTCACGTCCTAGGCCAGATGCCCACTCCTGCAGCGGAGCATAAGTGTGCTTCATCGTGTGTGCCGCTTCCTGGTTTGTGTCTGATTTTGCCTCTTTTCTAACGGTTTTAGCTGCTTTTTTTTTTTTTTTCAAGATTCATTTATTTATTTGAGAGGCAGAGTTACTGACAGAGAGAGAGTCTTCCATCCTCTGGTTCACTCCCCAAATGGCCACAACAGCTGGAGCTGGATGATCCGAAGCCAGGAGCCAGGGTGCAGGGGCACAAGCAGTAGGGCCATCTTCCACTGCTTTCCCAGGCCATTAGCGAAGTGGAGCAGCTGGGACTCGAACTGGCGCCCACATCCCATGACAGACAAAGGCTTAACCTGCTACACCACAGCCCTGGCCCCCATTTAGCTTATTAAAATGGCTTCAAAGTAAAACGACTTTCCCATCAGTGGCCGGATGTGTACATGTTTTGAGTGGGGAGCTCTGCTCCTCCGGGGTGGACGCCTCGTCTGTCTCCTGTCAGCCACTTGCAGGTGTGGGCACAAGACCCTCGGCCTTGCTGTTGCGTGTGTGTGTTCCTGGCTGCCCTGTCTGGCTGCCTCTGCATAGACAACACGCGTGTTTCAGGCCTGCAGCATCTTGCTCTGAGGACTGGGATGCTGGGAGCGACTCCGTCCAGTGTTCAGGGCACACGGGTGCTTTCTAGGAGTCGGCTCCTGTCTGGCAGCTGAGCACAAACCTGGAGGCCCACGACGTTGCAGAAGTGAGGAATGACTTACTAGCTAACTTAGAAGTGCAAACAAGTGGCCCCCAGGAAGGAAGGCAGGTGCCGGCTGGCTGGCTGACTGCACCTCAGGAGATGGCCTTCAGGGCCGAAGGGTCTCACGCGGAGCAAACCACCCAGAACTGAAGCTCCCCGGGGAAACTGGCAGTGTGTGTGAACTCTCAGCGTCCCTGGGGTGCTCGTGATACACACGGGCTCATCTCTGGGAAAGTCACGGCCCCTCCGCAGCCCCATATCTGTCTCTGCAGTGCTGGGACACTCACAGTCCCCCAAGTTCCAGACGGTGGCCACTGCTCCATAACCCACCCAGCCGTGTGGGCAGCAGCCACAGTCAGGCCAAGTCTGTGTCTGTTAAGTGACCCCGTGCCAACTCCCTTCCAGTGGTGTCTAAGCAAAACCAAGCCTTTCCTGGCTGGCTGACTGCCATTTCTCTTCCCAAAGCTGTCTTGTGACTGTCGCCTGCAAGCCTGCTTAACTTCAGTTCACCCGGGAAACCTTGTTTCTCCCCCACGGGGCTGGGCTGATGTGTCCGTCCCCGCTGTGCGGGCAGTGTTCTGCGGACATGAGCCGTCTCCCGTGGCAGCTGCTCTCGGGAGGAGTGCCGGGGATGTCACTCAGGCTAACTGGGTGTCTCCAGTGGCAGACACCCGGTGCCCTGTTTGGGACTGGGCAGTGGCAGCTCTGATGTGTGCTGTGGCTGGTCCTGGCTGTCCAGTTGTGTGGCCAGCCCATGCCGTTGTCCCCTGTGCTTATTTGAGACAAAAACTGTGCTGGAGTGGCCTGGTGTAGGAGGAAGAGGGGGCAGGACTGTGTGCGGGGTCAGCCGAGGGCCGGAGGAGGCGTGGCTGATGGATGGGGGTCGTGTTTCATGTTGGAGTCTGGTGCCTGGAGCTTGTCACAGCCTGGGGTGGGGCCTTGGAGCCCAGGTCGGGGAGCAGGGGCCTGGGAGCTCCAGCTTGGCTGCTTGCTGCCCGTCACATGCAGAAGACTGGACGTGCCCTCTCCTGTGTAGGGGCAGGGGGGTGGCCTTGTGTGGGCGGACCCCTGTAGCGCAGCTCTGGGCACACGGAGTCTGGGTGTGCTGCCGCACGCCCCACAGCCTTCCCCGCTGCCCTCCTCAGTTGGCGCACCCATACCGCGCGATGGTCCTGAGGGCTATGGAGACGGTCCTGAGCAGTCACACCTGCAGGCTGGACAAGGACACGGCCAGCGCTGTCCTCCTCCTGGCCTCCAGCGAGATGACCAAGACCAAGGTGCGTGGGCTCGGCCCTGCTCGGGAGGGCGGCTTCCTTTCTGGGCCTTGCTGCCCCGGGTGTTAGGAGTGGGTTGTGTCCGGCTGAGGTCTCGTGCCACAGCTTTCCCCGGGGGACACTGGAGACAGGCTCGTTCTGCCGCCTGTGCGAGAAGTTCTCCCTCTGGGTCTTGGGCAGGAGCTGTTCTCTGAGTGGCAGCAGGCGGCGAGCAGTGTGCTGGTGGCCGTGGGGAAGCACTGCATCAACCCCGTGATGGAGGAGCTGCTGAGCCAGTTCCAGCCGGGGGTCCTGCCGCACCCCCTCGTGCTGCAGACGCTGGCCGGCCTCGCAGTGTCCAACGGTAGGTGGTGGCCTGGCCCGCTCTGTGCTCTGGCCTCATGGCCCAGCTCCTGCCTGCACCCGCCTCGGGCTGTCAGGAGCTCAGGCCATGTAGGGGGCTGTGTGTGTGTGTGTGTGTGTGCTGGGCGGTGGGGGCTGTGTGTGTGTGTGTGTGCTGGGCGGTGGGGGCTGTGTGTGTGTGTGTGCTGGGCGGTGGGGGCTGTGTGTGTGTGTGTGCTGGGCGGTGGGGGCTGTGTGTGTGTGTATGCTGGGCAGTGGGGGCTGTGTGTGTGTGTGTGTGCTGAGCGGTGAGGGCTGTGTGTGTGTGTGTGCTGGGCGGTGGGGGCTGTGTGTGTGTGCTGGGCGGTGGGGGCTGTGTGTGTGTGTGTGCTGGGCGGTGAGGGCTGTGTGTGTGTGTGTGCTGAGCGGTGGGGACTGTGTGTGTCCTGTGCTGGGCGGTGGGGGCTGTGTGTGTGTGTGTGCTGGGCGGTGGGGGCTGTGTGTGTGTGTGTGCTGGGCGGTGAGGGCTGTGTGTGTGTGTGTGCTGGGCGGTGGGGGCTGTGTGTGTGTGCTGGGCGGTGGGGGCTGTGTGTGTGTGCTGGGCGGTGAGGGCTGTGTGTGTGCTGGGCGGTGGGGGCTGTGTGTGTGTGTGTGCTGGGCGGTGGGGGCTGTGTGTGTGTGCTGGGCGGTGGGGGCTGTGTGTGTGTGTGTGCTGGGCGGTGAGGGCTGTGTGTGTGTGTGTGCTGAGCGGTGGGGACTGTGTGTGTCCTGTGCTGGGCGGTGGGGGCTGTGTGTGGTGTGTGCTGGGCGGTGGGGGCTGTGTGTGTGTGTGTGCTGGGCGGTGAGGGCTGTGTGTGTGTGTGTGCTGGGCGGTGGGGGCTGTGTGTGTGTGCTGGGCGGTGGGGGCTGTGTGTGTGTGTGTGCTGGGCGGTGGGGGCTGTGTGTGTGTGTGTGCTGGGCGGTGGGGCTGTGTGTGTGTGTGTGCTGGGCAGTGGGGGCTGTGTGTGTGTGCTGGGCGGTGGGGGGCTGTGTGTGTGTGTGTGCTGAGCGGTGGGGGCTGTGTGTGTGTGTGCTGGGCGGTGGGGGTTGTGTGTGTGTGTGTGCTGGGCGGTGGGGGCTGTGTGTGTGTGCTGGGCGGTGGGGGCTGTGTGTGTGTGTGTGCTGAGCGGTGAGGGCTGTGTGTGTGTGTGTGCTGGGCGGTGGGGGCTGTGTGTGTGTGCTGGGCGGTGGGGGCTGTGTGTGTGTGTGTGTGCTGGGCAGTGGGGGCTGTGTGTGTGTGCTGGGCGGTGGGGGCTGTGTGTGTGTGTGCTGGGCAGTGGGGGCTGTGTGTGTGTGTTTGTGCTAGGCAGTGGGGGCTGTGTGTGTGTGTGCTGGGCAGTGGGGGCTGTGTGTGTGTGTGTGCTGGGCGGTGGGGGCTGTGTGTGTGTGTGTGTGTGCTAGGCAGTGGGGGCTGTGTGTGTGTGTGTGCTAGGCTGTGTGTGTGTGTGTGTGCTGAGCGATGAGGGCTGTGTGTGTGTGTGTGCTGGGCAGTGGGGGCTGTGTATGTGTGCTGGGCGGTGGGGGCTGTGTGTGTGTGTGTGTGCTGGGCAGTGGGGGCTGTGTGTGTGTGCTGGGCGGTGGGGGCTGTGTGTGTGTGTGTGTGTGCGCTAGGCAGTGGGGGCTGTGTGTGTGTGTGTGCTAGGCTGTGTGTGTGTGTGTGCTGGGCGGTGGGGGCTGTGTGTGTGTGCTGGGCGGTGAGGGCTGTGTGTGTGTGTGCTGGGCGGTGGGGGCTGTGTGTGTGTGTGCTGGGCAGTGGGGCTGTGTGTGTGTGTGTGCTGGGTGGTGAGGGCTGTGTGTGTGTGTGTGCTGGGCAGTGGGGGCTGTGTGTGTGTGCTGGGCGGTGGGGGCTGTGTGTGTGTGCTGAGTGGTGGGGGCTGTGTGTGTGTGCTGAGTGGTGGGGGCTGTGTGTGTGTGCTGAGTGGTGGGGGCTGTGTGTGTCTTGTGTGGAGCTGTGGGGGCTGTGTGTGTCCTGTGTGGAGCTGTGGGGGCTGTGTGTGTCCTGTGCTGAGTGGTGGGGACTGTGTGTGTGTGTGTGCTGAGCGGTGGGGGCTGTGTGTGTGTGTGTGCTGGGCGGTGGGGACTGTGTGTGTCCTGTGCTGAGTGGTGGGGACTGTGTGTGTGTGCTGAGTGGTGGGGGCTGTGTGTGTCCTGTGCTGAGTGGTGGGGACTGTGTGTGTCCTGTGCGGAGCGGTGGGGGCTGTGTGTGTCCTGTGCGGAGTGGTGGGGGCTGTGTGTGTCCTGTGCTGAGTGGTGGGGACTGTGTGTGTCCTGTGTGGAGCTGTGGGGACTGTGTGTGTCCTGTGCTGAGTGGTGGGGGCTGTGTGTGTGTGTGCTGAGTGGTGGGGGCTGTGTGTGTCCTGTGCTGAGTGGTGGGGGCTGTGTGTGTCCTGTGCTGAGTGGTGGGGGCTGTGTGTGTGTGTGCTGAGTGGTGGGGGCTGTGTGTGTCCTGTGCTGAGTGGTGGGGGCTGTGTGTGTCCTGTGCTGAGTGGTGGGGGCTGTGTGTGTCCTGTGCTGAGTGGTGGGGACTGTGTGTGTCCTGTGCTGAGTGGTGGGGGCTGTGTGTGTCCTGTGCGGAGCGGTGGGGGCTGTGTGTGTCCTGTGCTGAGCGGTGGGGGCTGTGTGTGTCCTGTGCGGAGCGGTGGGGACTGTGTGTGTCCTGTGTGGAGTGGTGGGGACTGTGTGTGTCCTGTGCTGAGTGGTGGGGGCTGTGTGTGTCCTGTGCTGAGTGGTGGGGACTGTGTGTGTCCTGTGCGGAGCGGTGGGGACTGTGTGTGTCCTGTGTGGAGCTGTGGGGACTGTGTGTGTGTCCTGTGCTGAGTGGTGGGGGCTGTGTGTGTCCTGTGCTGAGTGGTGGGGACTGTGTGTGTCCTGTGTGGAGCGGTGGGGACTGTGTGTGTCCTGTGCTGAGTGGTGGGGACTGTGTGTGTCCTGTGTGGAGCGGTGGGGACTGTGTGTGTCCTGTGTGGAGCGGTGGGGGCTGTGTGTGTCCTGTGCTGAGTGGTGGGGGCTGTGTGTGTCCTGTGCTGAGTAGTGGGGACTGTGTGTGTCCTGTGCTGAGTGGTGGGGGCTGTGCTCGCTCTGCTGAGCGCTGGGGGCTATGATGCCACCCTGAGCACCCTCTGCCCCACAGTGTTCGGCACCGTCCCTTTCCTGCCGTCCGTGCTGAGCACCATGCTGCCCATGCTGGGGATGGCCAGGCAGGACACCATGCGGGCTGTGCTCTGCTGCGGTAAGATGGTTGGTACGGCTGCACCTGTCTGCCCTGTGTCTCGGGGCTGCTGTGGGACCTGGCTGACGTGCCGCTGTCAGCTGGCACAGGTCCTTGGGGCTGCAGGGAGGCAGGCAGGAGCCAGAGGGAGGGCCTTGGCTGAGCTGCTCCTGGGGGCTGGGTGCGCCTGCCCTTGTGTTGCAGCCTGTGCCCTCGCTGCTTCTCTGTGCTGCTGAGATCCTCACACCAAGGGTCTGTAGTGACCTGGACACGGGGTAGGAGGACACATCCTTAAATCACAGCTTTGCACGTCTGTTCTGTTCTCCATGCTGCTGCTTGCAGAGTGGCCTCTCCCTGGGCATCTCAGAGCAGCCAGAGGGGTGCTCCCTGCTCTCAAACCTGTGTCTGATCAGGCCGTAGGAGTGGCTTGGGCATGGCCTCTGGGAACATGGTGTTCCTGTAGGGAGCTGCGCTAACTTAGCCAAAGTTGGAGACCCTGGACGCTGTGGGCCTGGGGACCCAGCCACCCTTGGTAGCAGCCTTGAAGCCCCTGCAAGACTGCAGCTCTGGAACCTGGTGGGCAGGGCACCTGTGTCATTCCAGGCTCCCAGGAGGCAGCAGCTCCTTAAATGTTGACCCCTTGTTGACCGCTGGCCCTCCCAGGATTGGGATGTCCGGGCTTTTCCCCTGGTGGGTTGTCGTCACAGCAGGCAGGGCCTGGTGCCCAGGGGCATGGTTTGGTGGGGAAGGGCATGGTGACGGAGTGAGGAATACGTTTTACATGTTGGGCCCATTCCTGGTGACTTTGGGTCTGGGGTCCTGGGGCTCTTAGGGCCCTGCCTCCCGTGCATCCGCAGAGCCCTGCCACTCCTTGCAGCCCCTGGCCTCCTGTCTCCTTGCCCAGCTTCTTCATGCTTTCATTTCTGGGGTTTTCCTCAAAGACTCCTTCCTGCCTGGGGACGAGGCCCCTGGCTGAGCTGATGCAGACCTCACTTCCTGATGTTTGAGGCTGAGATTTGACACAGGGTCCCAGAGAACCACACGCTGAGCTGGGGTGGAGAGAGGGCCTCGGGGGTGCCTGCATGGCGTGGGATGTGGGTAAACCTTCCCGACGTGAAAGCATGGCAGGGAGAGCGTAGGACAGGGCCTTGTCCAGGTGGCGGCGACCAGGGACCGTGACGGCTGCTGGGTCTGTGCTGAGCTCACCCTGTGTCACCCCTACGGTGCTGAGAGCCACGACCCCAGGTCTTGCAGCTGCCACAGCCCTGGTGCTGTGGTTCCTCTCCTCCAGTCTCTGCCGTGGGGGTGAGGCCACTCCCCACGTGAAGGGAGGCTTCACTGGCAGTCAGTGAGCGGCACGGGGCAGCCTTGTGTGCACCGCTGGACGTGCCATGCAGGGGAATGGGCACAGCCTGACACTGCCCAGGAATACAGCAGGGGCAGCGGTCTTCCTGGCACCCCGCATTGCCTGCATAGGAAGGCAGCCTCAGAAGAGACAAAGATGGACTCGGGGTGCAGTATGTCCAGGAAGAAGAAGACGGCCAAAAGAGAGCCGTGACCGAGGTCCCCAGGGAGAAGATAGTCGAGAGAGCTGTGACCAAGGTCCCCAGGAGAAGACAGCCGAGAGAGAGCCGTGACCGAGGTCCCCAGGAGAAGACAGCCAAGAGAGAGCCGTGACCGAGGTCCCCAGGAGAAGACAGCCGAGAGAGAGCCGTGACCTAGGTCCCCAGGAGAAGACAGCCGAGAGAGAGCCGTGACCGAGGTCCCCAGGAGAAGACAGCCGAGAGAGAGCTGTGACCGAGGTCCCCAGGGAGAAGACAGCCGAGAGAGAGCCGTGACCGAGACCCCAGGAGAAGACAGCCGAGAGAGAGCCGTGACCGAGGTCCCCAGGAGAAGACAGCCGAGAGAGAGCTGTGACCGAGGTCCCCAGGGAGAAGACAGCCGAGAGAGAGCCGTGACCGAGACCCCAGGAGAAGACAGCCGAGAGAGAGCTGTGACCGAGGTCCCCAGGAGAAGACAGCCGAGAGAGAGCCGTGACCGAGACCCCAGGAGAAGACAGCCGAGAGAGAGCTGTGACCGAGGTCCCCAGGAGAAGACAGCCGAGAGAGAGCTGTGACCGAGACCCCAGGAGAAGACAGCCGAGAGAGCCGTGACTGAGGTCCCCAGGGAGAAGACAGCCGAGAGAGCCGTGACCGAGACCCCAGGAGAAGACAGCCGAGAGAGCCGTGACCGAGGCCCCAGGAGAAGACAGCCGAGAGAGAGCCTTGACCGAGGTCCCCAGGGAGAAGACAGCCGAGAGAGCCGTGACCGAGGCCCCAGGAGAAGACGGCCGAGAGAGAGCCTTGACCGAGGTCCCCAGGGAGAAGACAGCAGAGAGAGAGCCGTGACCAAGGTCCCCAGGAGAAGACAGCTGAGAGAGAGCTGTGACTGAGGTCCCAGGAGAAGACAGCCGAGAGAGAGCCGTGACTGAGGTCCCCAGGAGAAGACAGCCGAGAGAGAGCCGTGACCGAGGCCCCAGGAGAAGACAGCCGAGAGAGAGCCGTGACCGAGGCCCCAGGAGAAGACAGCCGAGAGAGAGCCTTGACCGAGGCCCCAGGAGAAGACGGCCGAGAGAGAGCCGTGACCGAGGCCCCAGGAGAAGACAGCCGAGAGAGCCGTGACCGAGGCCCCAGGAGAAGACAGCCAAGAGAGCCGTGACCGAGGCCCCAGGAGATGCGAGGAGATGGTGGACCGTGAAGCAGGCATGTTGTCGCGAGGAAGCCACATCCAGAGAGTACAGCGGAGCTTTGAGAGTGAAGTCATGGTGATAGAAATAAAAACCACAGCCGGCACCGCAGCTCACTAGGCTAATCCTCCACCTGCAGCGCCGGCACACCGGGTTCTAGTCCCGGTCGGGGCGCCAGATTCTGTCCTGGTTGCTCCTCTTCCAGTCCAGCTCTCTGCTGTGGCTTGGGAGTGCAGTGGAGGATGGCCCAAGTGCTTGGGCCCTGCACCCGCATGGAAGACCAGGAGAAGCACCTGGCTCCTGGCTTCGGATCAGCGTGGTAGGCCGCAGCGTACCAGCCGCAGTGGCCATTGGGGGGCGAACCAACGGAAAAGGAAGACCTTTCTCTCTGTCTCTCTCTCTCACTGTCCACTCTGCCTGTCAAAAAAAAAAAAAAAAAAAAAAAAAAAAAAAAAAAAAAAAAAAAAGAAAGGAAAAAACACAATAGAGTTGAGGAAAGAGTAGAAATCTTCCGCAAAACAGCCACAATGCAAAAGTGGCAGAGAAGACGGAGAGAATTAGCATGCTGGGGCACGGAACCAGGACCCCAGTACCAGGCACCTTAGAAAGAGCCGACAGTGGTTGTGAGTCTGCCCAGGAGGCTGGACAGGCAGATCCTCTGGGGGCACGCAGGGTGTTCTTGTGGGGAAGATGGTCGAGGAGGAGGGTGAGGGGCGGGTGGCCTGTGGGCAGCTTTGGCAGCAGTGCCACGCAGCCCTCTCCAGCCTGGAGGGGAGCCCACCCCAAGCACCTTGCGAATGTCAGGGTGGAATAAAGACTTTAGGGAAAGCAAGCCTCAAGACAAACCTCCAGCCATGCTTCCCGGAGGTGAATGGAGGATGTGTTCCACCATGACACTGCTCTGACCATGTGGGCACCCAAGAGACCGGGGGACAGCAGGCGCCTGGGCCTCTTGGAGGAGGTGCAGGCCCAGGACAAGTGGCTGCTGCTGTCTTCCCCTTGGGGAGGGGGGCTGTGTTTGTGATGGAGAACCAGGCAGATACACACAGGAGATGACCCCTAACTCACGCCCAGCAAAGCTGTGCAGGAAGGAGAACTGGGGCGAGGAGACAGGGGAGACTCCTGCCTGGCCACCCTGGAAAGGGCCACTCGGGGTGGGCAGGGCCATGCAGATGAGGCACGGAGAGGATAGGGGTCCGAGCCAGCACCTGTCTGCTTGCAGCGTGCTGGGGAGGGAGGGTGAGAACCCTCCCTTAACCTTTGTGTGACTCGGATGAAGGTGAGGAGCAGCCTGTTACCTTGAGAACCCTTCCTGCTGCAGGACACCCAGAAATGCCAATGGGCTTGCCGTCCGTCCTGCGGCCGGGAACGGGAGGCAGGCGTGGGAGACAGGCACGGCCCATCTTCCGCGAGAGGGTGACGAGGGGACGCCCTTGGTGCCAAGGGCCCTGGGAAGTGGGTTTTCTTCTGTTGTTTTCCCCGCTGAGGTTGTGTAACTGCCTGGCTTTCAGCTAGGTGTCGCTGCGGTCTACACCTCCTGTTGAGGCACAGGCTTGAGTCAGCAGCTCACTGGTTCCCTGCAGTGAGGATCTCAGCCTGGGCCTGGGGCCGTGCCAGTTACAGCCAGAAATCCCGCAGCAGCAGAGTAGGATTAGAGCAGAAGACAGCGTATCTGATGTTCATGAGGTCACAGCGTAGCAGCAGAGGGGTGGGCGCGGCACCACCTGGGGCACCGTATCCCCTATCTGAGTCTGGGTTCCAGCCCCAGCTGCTGCACTTCTGCCAGTGCGCCCTGGGAGGCAGCAGATGATGGCCCAAGCACTTGAATCCCACCACCCAAGTGGGAGACCTGGATGGAGGTCCTGGCTCCTGGCTTAGGCCTTGCCTAGTGCTGGTGGTTGTGGGCATTTTGGGAATGAACCATGGGGGGAAGATTCATTCTCTCTCTCTCTCTCTCTCTCTCTCTCTGCCTTTCAAGTAAAAGTAAACAGTTCTTAAAGATGGAGAAAAAAAAAAAGGGTAAGGAAGCAAAAGCAGGAACAAGTTGGGAGAAATTGTGTTTCTGTGCCCTTGAGGCCGGTTTGGAGAGGGACAGGTAGAGCGTTTAGACAGGAAGCCGGTGCTCTCCATGAAGGGCGGAGGGTTGGCCACTTGGAGAAGCTGGGCCTGGAGCTGAGGACTGCCCAGCGCTGCTCTGAGTGGGCTGAGCTTTGGGGACTGCAGGAGCAGCGTGAAGGAAGGGCTGAGGGGAGGGGCAGGGCTTAGAGTGGCTGCTTGCTCCAGAAAGCAAAGGAGGTGACTGAGCAGTTGTCCACAGCTGGGTGCATCCTCTGAGGTCATGGGTGCCAGGAAGCAGCTGCTGGGAAGGCTGTGCCCTGTCGGGCCCCAGGGGCCACCTCCCACACCGACCCGTCCAGCTGAAGCCAGGAGCCTGCAGCTGCCAGAGGGGGAGGCAGGAGTGGCTGGGGCAGAGCCGATTCCAGGAGCCCACGTTGCAGGGTGGAGTGTGACCCGCTGCGTGGGGCACATACGCCAGCACGGCAGTAGCAGCTGTTGATCACCTGTGCATGGCCAGGGCTTTCCAGGGAGCCGCTACAGCCTGGAGTCCAGTGTTTCTCTCTGCAGCCCCCCCCCCCCACCACCACACAGATGGACAGGCGGCTCTTGTTCTGGCCATGGTGCCTCGGAGCTGTGCCCGCTGTGTGGTCGGTGAGCCACCCAGGCCTTGCTGGAGCAGGGTTCTCCCTTGTTATTATTGACAGTGCTGCTGCTGGTCGTCCCTCCTGCCCTGACTGGAACGGGGCAGAAAATGGACAGACAGACATCTGGGAAAATATAACACTGCACTCGCTTCGGCAGCCGCGTCCTAAAACTGCAGTGTCAGAGAGATGAGTGTGGGCCTGTGCGGAGATGGTGTGCAGATGCCTGGGCGTCCTCGTGTTCTGAGGCAGGGTCAGGCGCGCTTCCCCGAGGATCCACACCCCTCAGAAGTGTTGAGGGCATCAGCAGGGTCAGAGAGCAAAGAGAAACACGAAGCAGCCAGTAGTCCTCACCTGACCCTGTCACCCAGGGGCTCCCACCTGACCCTGTCACCCAGGGGCTCCCACCTGACCCTGTCACCCAGGGGCTCCCCCAGGCCCTGTCACCCAGGGGCTCCCCCCAGGCCCTGTCACCCAGGGGCTCCCCACCTGACCCTGTTACCCATGGGCTCCCCACCTGACCCTGTCACCCAGGGGCTCCCACCTGACCCTGTCACCCAGGGGCTCCCCACCTGACCCTGTCACCCAGGGGCTCCCCACCTGACCCTGTCACCCAGGGGCTCCCCCAGGCCCTGTCACCCAGGGGCTCCCACCTGACCCTGTCACCCAGGGGCTCCCCACCTGGCCCTGTCACCCAGGGGCTCCCCCCAGGCCCTGTCACCCAGGGGCTCCCCACCTGACCCTGTCACCCAGGGGCTCCCACCTGACCCTGTCACCCAGGGGCTCCCCCCAGGCCCTGTCACCCAGGGGCTCCCACCTGACCCTGTCACCCAGGGGCTCCCCACCTGACCCTGTCACCCAGGGGCTCCCCCCAGGCCCTGTCACCCAAGGGCTCCCACCTGACCCTGTCACCCAGGGCCAAATTCATTCATTTATTCCTTCCTTCCTTCCTTTTTTTTTTTTTTTTAAGATTGATTGATTTGCAAGCAGAAATACAGAGAGGTGGAGGAAGAGAGGTCTTGCACCTGACAGTTCACTCCCCAAATGCCCATTGCTGGGACTGGGCTGATCTGAAGCCAGGAACTTCCTCCAGGTCTCTCACGTGGGTACAGAGGCCCACAGCACTTGGGCCATCTTCTACTGCTCTCCCAGGGCATAGCAGAGAGCTGGATGGGAAGTGGAGCAGCGGGGACTAGAACTAGCACCGTATGGGATGCCAGCGCTGCAGGCGGCAGTTTTACCTGCTATGCCACAGTGCCCACCCCACCAAATTCTCTCTATGAGCTGGGTAGTGCCTTCACACTGAGAGGACACACAATACACCCCCTCCAGCCACGCACTGTGCCGCTCCCAGGGCGGGGGTGCCTTTGGATGCCTGTGTCCGTCTGTAGCCTGTGATGTGTTGGTTCAGTCCCCAAACCTGGGAACATGGAGATTAGCATCCCTGGTGACGACGAGGCCCAGGGACAGAGTCACAGCTGACATGGAGCTGAGATGTGTCCCATCTGGGTCAGTGCCGGCAGGTGCAGAAGAAACCTGCAGACCCACTTCTGTGGCTGTTGATTCTTAATCCATCGTAAATACAAGTGAGTGGGCGTCTGTTACAGGATAAGAAAAACAGAGTTAGCTCAGCCCAAAGAGAGCCCCTTGTCCCGGAGAGCTCTGCGGTCCGGCAGTGTCGCAGCACCACATGTGCTCTTTCCACTTAACACCAGAACCCTGAGAACATGCAGCGAAAGCGCATCCGCAGCTTAGCGTGGGGGCTGAGCTCCAGGTGAGCCAGTGGGAGTGGGACAGGCCGGCCCCGGGGGCACAGGTGCCGAAAACCCTGAGGGCCTGGCTGCCGGGCAGCAGAACTGCCCGTGGCGTTGAAGGCATTTTGTCCTGCAGACCAGAAGCAGGGGGGGTTGGCTTGGCCTTGCACGTGAGCTGGTCGTGGGAACACCTGGTGCTGTTCTGTGTCCCACCTGTGAGCTCGGCAGTTCTCTGTTTACACCTGGGGAGACAGAGGCCCGGAGAGGTAAGTGGCCCACGTGGAGTCACGTGCATCGCTCGCCTGTCCGGAAGCCGTTAGTGCCCCGCCTGGAGTCGGGAGAGGGGCAGGAGGCCCGATGGCAGCGTCCTTGGGCAGCAGTTGCTGGAGCTCAGTAGCCCAGGAGGACCACAGCAAACCAGACTTTTGTGGTCTCTAAAACGTCCAGCACATTCTACAAACCGCCAAGGTGATGAGTGACGGCAGCAGAGTGCTGCTGGAGCGTCAGGGCGGGCTGCCTGCGCCCTAGAGAGCAGCCCCCGAGCTGGTGGCCTCTGCATCAGTGAGTGGCGGCCAGGTCCCAGGGAGAGTTCCACAGCCCCTCTACCGATGGCTGCCAGCCCCTGGGAGGCTGTGGCCCTGAGGGCAGAGCTGCAGAGCCGGCCCGGCCCTTGTGCAGGCAGCGTGGAGCAGTGGAGATGGGTGTCGGGGTGAGGCTTCTGGGCCTGGCAGGGTGCAGAACACAGCTGTGGGTTCAGGAGGGGTCAGGGTCCCCTTCAGTGAGCTGGATGTCGGGGGCTGTGGAAGGGAGAGGGTGAGACGGATGTGAGACGGGTGAGCCTGGGCACTGTCAGTGGCAGCCACCGTGTGGTTCTCTGTTGGAAGTGATTTTTTTCTTAATATTTACGTAATAGAGAAAAGAGGTTGGTCTTCCATCTACTGTTTACCCTCTAAAGGCCAAAATGGCTGATGCTGGGCCAGGCCAAATCCAGGAGCCCAGGACTCTATCTGGGTCTCCCCTTGGCAGGGGCCCACGTCCTTGAGCCGTCACCTGCTGCCTTCTAGGGTGTGTGTTAGCAGGAAGCTGGCTTGGAAGCGGTTCTGGCGCCCATGTGGGACTTTGGCACCATGCACGGCAGCACAGCCGCGCCACCACGGTGACCCCTGAAGCTTCTCAAGGGAAAGGAAGTGCAGATCCAGCGTACAGATGCGTGCCGTGCACGTCGAGGCTTGAGGAGCTGTGCTCGTCAGGAGATGCTGTGAAGATTAGAGGGTACCGCTGCTTTATGAGGTGTGGGAAGGCCTAGCTGTGGCTGTGAAGAAGTGGACGGCAAGGAGGCTCAGTCCCATGCCCCAGGTCATAGCCAGGATTGCAAACCCTCCAAGAAGAAGGGGAAGACGACCCAGAGGACGCAGAGGAAGAATGCAGCCCCGGGGTCAGGCGGTCGGGCGTGGGCAGGAGGGGCGGCGCTTGGCCAGTCTGGACAGCACTGGGTTGTCGGACTCCAAGTGGCTGCTGAGGTTTGCACCAGGAGCCCACAGCCCCAGCTGTTGGGACCCACCATGCCCGCTGCTTTGTGGAGCACATGGACCCTGCCTGGTGTCCTGAGCACCCATTTGCGCCCCGGGAGGTCTCGGGAGGCCTGATCCAGGCGTGCGGCACCTCCTGGCTGCTCCTGTCCTGCTGCGCTTCCTTCCGCAGCTCCTCTGACTGCACCCTCAGGGCGGTGCAGGAGGGTCCTGCCTCGGTCACTCCCTTTGGGGTCCTCTTTCTTCCCTTGACCCAGGGCCCAGCCCCACCAGCCACTTCCAGATCTGCACCTACCCACCACCAAGTTTTGAACTCCAGGCCCCAGACTTCCCACCTAGATGGCCACGGCCACTTGAAGCTCAGGTGGACGTAAGGAGAGCCCTGGCCCTGGCCCTGTCCACTCCTGGCTGCGTGCCCAGTCAGCCCCCAGGCAGGAGCCAAGTCCCCTTCTCCAGCCCTGTGTGCTGGGGTTCTGGAGTTCACAGGCCACCGCTGTGCCCCTTTGTGTCCCCTACCTGGGGCCATACTCTGCACTGTCCCTGCATAGCTGCCCTTGGGAAGTGTGTTGAGGGGCATAGTGCCTCCTGCTGGCGCTATGGCCAGGGGCCGCTGCGGGAGGGCTGCCCTGATCAACCACGGGTGCAGCTCAAATAGCAGACCTTTGGTCCGTAGGGGCCTGGGGCCGTGTGTGGACCCGGCTGGTTCTTGCGTGCTCAGAGGGACGATCTGCTCCTGCCCCAGCTCCTGGGCGTGGCTGTCCCCCCTTGGCACCCTTGGTGGGCCCCCCACCCCAGTCTCTGCCTCTGCCGTGTGCCTGCCTCTGTGCCTGCTCCCTTTCTTCTGTTGGGTTGGGGCCTCCACTGTTCTGCCGTGGCCTCTGACGAGCAGTTTCATCTGCAGCCGGTCCATTGTCACCTAAGGTCCCTCTCAGGTTCTGGAGTGATGTGGGATTGGGGGCTGAGCTCACCTGGTGTGGTGCTGGAGTCTGTTTGGCCGGTGTGCCGGGGTGGGCAGCAGTACCACCCGCAGGGCGTCAGGTGAGTCTCTCCATGGGCCGTTGCAGCCCTGCAGCGCTTCAGCGAGAGTGCCCTGGAATACCTTGCCAACCTGGACCAGGCCCCAGACCCCACGGTCAGGAAGGACACCTTCGCCGCTGACCTCTCCAGTGCCTATGACATTCTCTTCCACCACTGGCTGCAGAGTCGAGAAGCCAAGGTACAGCCCCTGGGCCTGCCAGGAGCCTGGACCTGGTCCTGACCTGGCTGCCCACCTTGAGGGCCCCTCTGCCTCCGTGGGCTCTGGGAAAGGGCGTGGGGAAGTTGTCTGTCTACACCTGTTGTCAGGTGCTCTCCGTCTCCTGTGCCCTGCCCACAGTTGGTGCTTGGGGCTGGCGGACCTCTGCGGGGCCACACCTTTGCTCAGCCTCACCTGTGAGTGGTCCAGCCTGCGGTGGAGCTTGTCCTCCTCTCCTTGGGGGCACGTGTTCCTGAAGCCCTGGCACTGAGACGCCCCTCTGGCCCCAGGCCCCAGGCCCCAGTGCTCCCAGAGCCAGCACTGAACATCCCATGCCTCTGAGCTGGCTGCCAGCCCCCTGACCAGGGCCACTTCACAGCTGTACTCGGACCGCAGCTGCTGCGCTGGCCTGGTGCTGGGTGATGGGGAGCAGCACCGGTGCCCTGTCACTGTCTCCTCAGCTCCGGCTCGCGGTGGTAGAGGCTCTGGGGCCCATGAGCCACCTGCTGCCCGGGGATAAGCTGGAGGAGCAACTCCCCAAACTCCTGCCTGGGGTCCTCGCCCTCTACAAGAAGCATGCAGAAGCTTTCCACGTGTCCAAGGTACCCACCGGCCAGGCAGTCCTCAAGGACCCCCCTCAAACTGGCCTCCCCTGGGGGTGGCCTCGGTGCTCTGTTGGGATGCAGAACTGGGCTGTGAAGGACCGGGCCTCTCCCAGCCCTGCGCTGGATATGGGAACTCTAGGACGTCTGGCCCAGAGCCCCAGCTGTAAACGCCAGATGAGGAGGCCGAGCTTGCCCTTGAGACTCAGGGCAGGGCCTGTGCCCCCTGGATCTCTTGTGCCTGGGGTCTTGGTTGACCGCATGATCTGGAGGTGAACTCACAGCCCCTCTCCTGCCCTGAGCAGAGCCTGGGCCAGATCCTAGAGGCGGCCGTGAGTGTGGGCAGCCGCACACTGGAGGTCCAGCTCGACACCCTCCTGGCTGCTCTGCACGCACAGGTAGGCTTGGGGGTGCTGGGGGCAGGTGTCGATCGGGTGGGTGGCTCTGCCATGCAGGGCTGGGGAGTGGGTGTCTTTGAGAGCTGCTAGGGTGAGGACCTTGGAGACGTGGCCACACTCAGGGCCTGCCCAGCAGTGATGCATGCAGGTGGTAGAGGCAGCTGGGCAGGTGCTGAAGGCCACCAAGGTGCTCTTGGAGAGAGCTCAGGTGACTGCTGTGTAGGGGCAGGCAAGAGAGTCCCTCAGGGCCTGAGCAGAGGCCCAGGGATGCTGTGGGCTAGAGCCAGCAGAGTGGCCACAGGGAGGCGGGGGCAGGGGAAGTGCCGTGAGGAGTTGGTCGGTTGGACACCTGACAGAGGCCTGCGGTCGGCTGGTGAGTGCCATGTGTGGAGGACACCTGTGACCTAGGGGTGGGGACTTGAGTCCCTGGGACTTTCTGGGAGAGACAGGACAGGAGGCAAGAGAGCAAGAGCTGAGTCTCTCCCAGGAGACCCTGCAAAAGAAGCAAGGAAGTGGACCTTCAAGTCTCCGCTCCGTCCCCCACCCTTGGGCTCCTCGGGGAGGGCAGTGAGCAGAGGTATTCAGAAGCAGGTGCAGCCCCTGTCAGAGTGCCTGGCTCTGCCTCCCGCAGGCGACGGCACAGGCAGCTGGGGCTCTGCCGACCACATGCGGTACTTGAACGGAGTTTGTGGCCTGGCCCAGCCCCAGCTGTTGTGGGCATTTGGGGAGTGAACGAGAGATCTCTGTCTGTCTCTGTCTGTCTCTGCATCTGTCTCTGCCTTTCAAATAAAATGAAAAATTTTTAAATTACCTTTAAAAGTAAATTAAAATTGTATAAAAGGGTAGAGTCCTAGAAAAATAAACAGTGTCAGCATTGATAGAAGTAGAGAACTTGAATAAATCTTCTAAAACCTTCCTTTAAAAAAAATATTTATTTGAAAGGTAGAGTTACAGAGAGGAGAGGCAGAGAGAGAGAGAGGTCTTCATCCAGTGGTTCATTCCCCAAACAGCCACAATGGCTGGAGCTGGGCTGATCTGAAGCCAGGAGCCAGGAGCTTCCTCTGGGTCTCCCACGTGGGTGCAGGGGCCCAAGGACTTGGGTCATCTTCCACTGCTTTCCCAGACCTTAGCAGAGAGTTGGATTGAAAGTGGAGCATCCAGGACTTGAACCAGTGCCCACGTGGGATGCTGGCTGAAGGTGACGATTTTACCTGCTACGCCACAGCACCGGCCCCAAAGACCTCCGTGCTCTGAGTCTGGGCTCTACCCAGATCTAGGGTAGCAGTTCTGTCTGGAGCTGAGAGTTGTGTGAGGCAGAATGGGATCCCAGGTCCAGACAAGAACATGCAGGAGGATGCCCGTGTCCTGGCAGATGCAGCGTAGTTATCAAAATTCCCGGGGGGTGGGCTCGGTCCAGGAACAGAAGACCCGTCTGTCGTCATGTGCCTCGCTCGTCACATGGCAGTCAGGTCACATGAGGCTGGCATGTGCAGTGCGTCAGGCTGTGGCCTGCAGCACCACTATCCCACATTGGAGTGCCGGATTGTGTCCCAGCTTCTCCACTTCCAACCCCTGTTCCTGCAAATGCTCCTGGGAAAACAGCGGTTAATGGCCCAGGTACTTGGGCCCCTGCCACCCGCATGCAAGACCCAGGTGGAGCTCCTGGGTCTTGACTTCGGCCTGGCCCAGCCTGGCTGTAACGGCCATTTGGGGAGTGAACCAGCAGATGAAAAATCTCTGTCTCTACCTGTGTCTCTTCTCTCTTTGTTACTCTGCCTTTCAAATAAATAAGTAGGTTTTTTTTTTTTTTAAGATGTATTTATTTATTTGAAAGGCAGAGATAAAGAGAGACAGAGAGGTCTTCCACTGGTTCACTCCCCAAATGGCCACAGTGGCTAGAGCTGGGCTGATCTGTAGCCAGGAGCAAGGAGCTTCTCCTGGGTCTCCCACGTGGGTGCGGGGGCCCAAGGACTTGGGCCATCTTCTGCTTTTTGAGGCCATAGCAGAAAGCTGGATCAGAAGTGGAGCAGCTGGGACTTGAACTGGCACCCATATGGGATGCTGGCACTGTGGGTGGTAGCTTTACCCACTATGCCACAGCACCAGCCCCAAATAAGTACATCTTAAAAAAGCAAAAAGAAATCATTTGCATTCAGTTGATGCAGAAAAAAACTTTTTTTTAAAGATGTACTTATTAATTGAAAGGCAGAGTGACACACAGAGGTTTTATCCGCTGGTTCATTCCCCAGTGGCATCAGCTGGCCAGGCCCAGGCCAAACCAGGAGCCTGGAACTCCATCGGGGCTCCCACGTGGGTGGCAGGGGCCCAGGTCCTTGGGCCATCACCTGCCACCTTTCCAGGCGCATTAGCAGGAACATTGATTGGAAGTGGAGTAGCCTAGACTCGAGGTTGTACTTGGGAATTAACCAAGAAGGCCCACAACCTCTGTGGGGAAGCTGACAGTTCAGAAAATGCAACACCAAGACAAGGTGAGAAGTGCGACCCTCTGAAGCGAGCACGACAGGTGAGGGCGCTCACCACACTGAGTGACCAGGACAGGTCCCACCCCCAGCTCCAGTCCGACTGTGCTGCTGCACCCTCCGGAGCTCGCCTGTCTGGGTCCCTGCCACCCATCTGAGGTTGCTGGCTCCTGGCTCTGGCCTGGCCTAGCCCCAACTCTTACAGGCATTTGGGGATGAACCAGCTGATGGGAGGTATCTCTCTCTCTGTCTCTCTGATACTCTGACTTCCAAATAAATAAAAACTTTTTTGAAAAGTTATTTCCTATTTGACATCTATGCCGTCATTTTCTGGTGGGCTTTGGGCTTTCGTGGTGTTAATGGGTAGCAGTTCTTCCCAGCCTCATACTACATAGGAGGTCTCCTAAGAGTTCATGGAAAATGCATATTATTGGAAAACTACAAATGCAACAGCCAGGGCTGAGCCAGGCCAGCGCAGGAGCCCAGAATTCCATCCAGATCGCCCGTGGGGTGCGTGGGGTGGGTGGAGCCCAAGCTCTTAGCCACCACCTGCTGCCTGTGTGCATTAGCAGGAAGTGGAGTCAGCGCGGGAGCGGGGACGGAGCCAGCATCTCAGCTGGTCCTGTCTGCGGCCCGTGACTCCACTGTGCCTGTTCGTACTGTGCAGAACTGACTGTTGTGTCCATCATGTGTCTTTGCATATGAAGTGTATGTGCATATGTACGTATGTGTATATATAAAGATTTATTCATTTGGAAGTCAGAGTTAGAGAGATCTGCCATCCATTGGTTCACTCCCCCAGTGGCCACAATGGCCAGGTTGGACCACCCAAAGCCAGAGCCAGGAGCTTCCTCCAGGTCTCCCACATGGGTGCAGGGGCCCAAGCGCTTGAGCCATCTTCCACTGCTTTCCCAGGCCATCAGCAGAGAGCTGGCTCAGAGGTGGAGCAGCTGGGACTAGAGCTGGCGCCCATATGGGATGCCGGCGCTGCAGGCGGAGGCTTAGCCTACTACCCCACAGTGCCAGCTGCCTCCTTTGTCCTTTACGTCACAGCCAGGTTTGTCCTATGTGGAAAACCTTTGAAGTGCAGCGACTGCTTTTCAAGTTCTCCCAGTTAATTTACGTGGGGGAGGGTCCAGCTTGATCCTTTTGGACTTGTGACCGTTTGCGTCTGGCATCTGCGCTGCGGCAGCCTCAGCCACGAGTGTCACCATGCAGTCGCAGGCAGGGCTGCGATAGCCCCTCCCCCAGGCGGTCTGGCTCAGGGTTCCAGGGCTGCAGTCTCGCCCAGGTTGTGCCAACTGAAGGCTCCCCTGGGGCTGCAGGACCACTGTGGTCAGCGTTGGACGTTACAGGGGAGCAACGCGGCCCCCTGAGCCTAGAGGTCAGCACTGTGTGCTTGCCCAGCATCCTAAGTTCCAGCAGGCCCCAGGCAGGGGCGCCCCGCTGTGCCCACTCTTCTGTCTCCAGGCAGGGGCGCCCCGCTGTGCGCACTCTCCTGCCTCACGGGGGGCCCTGCGGAGTCCCGGCCCCTGACAGTGTCCTTTGCCGGGAGGCCGAGGTGTGAGCTGGCACCTGGAGGCATCACCAAGGTGCGGTGGAGCTCACTGCCTGGCTTTTGCCCTCCACCCGTGCCACTTTGTGCCTTGGAAGGCCTGGCCTGCGGTGTTTTGGTTCCAGTCTCTGGCCTGTGGCTGGGAGCGTGTGTCTGGGCGGGAACGCTTGCCTTTCTAGTAAGAATTTGTTCTGCTGCTGGCAGAAGTGGTGCAAGCGGACAGGCCAGGTGTCCATGCACTGATGTGTCCACCTGTCTCCCTCCTCATCCCCAGCTGCTGCGGGTAGGCTGTCCCTGGCACACCTTGGGTGACGCAGGGCCAGTGCGTCCTGAGCTAGGCCTGGCCATCCCTGCTTCTGGCTGAGAAGGGCCTGGAGGGTGGTCTGTGGCCCTGGGCCCTGGGCCCCGTCGCTGGGCTCAGGGTGACTGTGCCGCCTCCTGCCTGGGCAGATCTGTGTGCCCGTGGAGTCCTCCAGCCCCCTGGTGCAGAGCAACCAGAAGGAGGTGCTGCGCTGCTTCACTGTGCTGGGTAAGCAGACACGCGTGGGCCATGCTGCCGCCCAGGCTCCGCCCTGCCATGTCACACCCACACCCGGGAGTGGCGCTGTGGTCAGCATGGGCCTTACACAGCCTCGTCTAGTGGCGCTGTCCTCATGTGCTTCATGGGACACACGGAGGTGTGAGGTCTGTCACTCTGTCTCCCTGGAGCTGTCCCCCTCCCCCATATCTCAGCATCTGCCTCTGCTCGTGCACCTCAAGACTGGGGTCCCCTAGGAGCCTGGAGGGGGAGGTGGTGGGGAGGCTGATCTCTTCCGGGCCAGGGGGTGGGAGGATGGCCAGCCTGGTGTCCAGGTGGAGCAGGGTAACTGTCAGTGACTCTGGTTCATCGCCAGAAGGGTCCCACTGCAGGGCCTGGCACGCAAGGCTGCAGCTGGGCTGCTTTGGCCCCTTGTGGGCTGGGGGTCCAAGCAGTCAGGAGTCAGCCCACCCTGCTGCAGAGTGGCCAAGGGGCAGGAGGCGGCCTCGCATGCCCTGGTGCGGCTGCCCCTGCTGGGCCTCGGCCTCCCCTTGGATGGGATCCATCAGGCAGCTGCAGCTCCCCACGGGCCACACGCGGCTCTTCACTGGCCTGGGCCCCTTGCGTGCAGGGAAGGGACACAGACCCTGACTCCAGGGCTGGAAGGTCCAGGCATTGTGCAAGCAGCGAAGGAGACGGCATCGCGAATGGCGCCTGATGCGTGCTTTGCTCTCTAGCCTGCTGCTCGCCTGACCGCCTGCTGGCCTTCCTGCTGCCTAAGCTGGACACCAACAACGAGAGGCTCCGTGTGGGCAGTCTGCAGATCCTGAGGCACGTCATCAACTCGGCGGGTGAGTGTCCCTTGCCTCAGGCAGCCAGTGCGCCCGTGCCCTTGCAGGAACAGGGCTGAGGAAGGCACACTGCGCACCTTTCAGCTGAACAGTCGCGTTCCTGCTTTGAATATTTAGAGTTTCCAACTTTACATCTTGCAAGACTCCAGCCTTTCTGAAAAGGTACAAGAATAGTTCCTTTGTGCGCCGTACCAGGTGCAGCTCGCAGACGCGTGCCCCACTCAGCCGCACCCGCGACCGCTCCCAGCACGGGCTGGCCAGCCGGCTGGTGTGTTCAGCCGCACCCGTGACGGCTCCCAGCACACTGCTCCCAGCACGGGCTGGCCAGCCGGCTGGTGTGTTCAGCCGCACCCGCGACGGCGCCCCGGCACACCGCTCCCAGCAAGGCTGGCCAGCCGGCTGGTGTGTTCAGCCGCACCCGCGACGGCTCCCCGGCACACCGCTCGCAGCACGGGCTGGCTGGTGTCTGGTGTGTTCGTCTCTTGGTTTGCAGGTGCCGTCCCCGCCTGTTCCCGCCCCACTAGGTGGAAGGGTTCCCAGTTCCTTCTCTCAAGGCTGGTGCAGTGGGCCAGTAGTAAGCTTGTGTAGTCTCACCCCGTCCTGTCACAGGGTCAGGGCACAGGAGCTGTGGCCACCTTGGGCCCATGACCTGCTCTTGAGCGTCCTGCGAGCTAAGCAGCTGTTACCGTTTCAGAGTACGTGACAGCAACCACCTGTGGCCGCAAGGCCTAGGCACTCTTTGTGGCCACTTAGGGAGCACGTGTGCTGGCCCTGACCTGCGTGGTGTGCTCTCTGGAGTCAGGGCCGTGGAGGGAGAGATGAAGGCAGTGTGGGAGCAGCTTGAGAGGGGCAGGCACCGGGGGCCATGGCCATCTGCATTGGAACCAAAGTGTCAGAACAGCTGTGCTTGCCCCGCCAGAGACAGCCTGAGGCCGGTGGTTGGGCCGCCCAGTGCAAGGCAGTGGAGGGTCAGCGCCTGAGACTTCTGCGCCTGGATGGACTGCCTCTGCTCTGCGCTTCCTAGGGGAGGGGGCATCTGAGACAGAGGGGGGGCAGCCAGACAGGAGGGCAAGCTGTTCCCGCCCGCAGCATTGCCTCGGCCCCCGGGACCCTGGGACAGAGGTGCCCTGTGTGTGTGTGTGTCTTTTTTTAAGATTTATTTAATTTATTTTCAAATCAGGGTGACAGAGATATTCCGTGTGCTGGTTTACTCCCCAGGGGGCTGCAGCACATGGGGCTGGCTCAAGCCAAAACCAGGAGCCTGGTGCTGTGTCCAGGTCTCCCACACAGATGGCAGGGATCCAAGCACGTGGGCCGTCTTTTTTTTTTTTTTTTTTTTTTTTTTGACAGGCAGAGTTAGAGAGAGAGACAGAGAGAAAGGTCTTCCTTCCGCTGCTTCACCCCCAAAATGGCTGCTACAGTCGGAGCGCTGCGCCAATCCGAAGCCAGGAGCCAGGTGCTTCCTCCTGGTCTCCCATGCCGGTGCAGGGCCCAAGCACTTGGGCCATCCTCCACTGCCCTCCCGGGCCACAGCAGAGAGCTGGACTAGAAGAGGAACAACCGGGACAGAACCCGGTGCCCCAACCAGGACTAGAACCTGGGGTGCCGGTGCCACAGGCGGAGGATTAGCCAAGTGAGCCGCGGCGCCGGCTGGGCCTTCTTCGGCAGCTTTCCTAGGCACATGATCAGAGAGCTGGGTTGGAGGCAGAGCGCATGGCTCTGATACGGATGCCAGCATTGCAGCTGGCGGCTTAGCCCACCGCACCGCAGTGCCGGCCTGAGGGTCCATTTCACAGAGGAGGTGAGTGGTGTGCCTGGACTCTCCGTGTCCCTAGCCAGGCGGCCCTTTCTCTTGGCTCTGAATGGTCTCCTGCTCTCAGAAGCTGCTCGGTCTTTAGCTGTGGTTCACTTTTCCCTTTGAGTTCTTTTCTCCTGGGGCCCGTGTTGTGGCATAGCGTGTTAAGCCTCTGCCTGTGATGCCGGCACCTCCACTTCTGGTCCAGCTCCCTGCTAATGCACCTGGAGAGCAGCAGCAGATGGCCCAGGTGCTTGGGCCGCTGCATCCACATGGGAGACCCAAAAGAAGCTCCTGGCTCCTGGCTTCAGCCTGGCCCAGCCGTGGCCATGCAGGCATTTGGGGAGTGAACCAGCAAATCGAAGATCTCTCTCTCTCTCTGTGACTCTGCCTTTTAAATAAAACAAATCTTTTTAAAAAAAATAAAAGGCGAAAGTCTAGAGTTCCATTTATGTCTCCCATGCACGGGGGAGCCAAGCACGTGGGGTGTCTTGTGCCGCTTTCCCAGGCATACTAGCCAGGGAGTATAACTGTTATAGCTGAGGGACCCTCCGGACTTGCTCTGTCCACGATGAAGTGCAAGGAGAGGCACAAAGCGAGGAGGCAGTTTTTAGCAGAGTGTTAGGTGAACAGGCAGGTGGCAGCCAAGCGGCTCTGCGAGAGGAGCCTTCTGCAGCCGGAAGGCCTTTCTGAAGGGGCAGAGGGAAGACTCCTGGGACAGCAGGTGGTCTGGGGTCTCACACTCTCGGTCCTCTGAGACACGTGTCCGTCGTGTGCTGAGCTCATCCTGCCTTCCCCCCTCCTGCTCCCCCCGGTGGTCAGTCTCTGGTCCCAGGTGTGAGCTGTGGGGTGAGCCAGTGCCTCCGTCGTGCTGGTAGCCTTGGGCTCGTTAGCTTACAGTCACAGGTTTTTCTCTTTTACCCTGTCCATCTCCAATCTTCAGGCTTTTCTCGTTCACCTGCCCTGTTTAGGTTTTGCCAAGTGTATCTCTTGAGTGCACGCCCTCGTGCTGCTTACGACCCAGGGGCTGCCCCATCCTTTGCCGTCCGCCTGGGTCTGACCTGACCTTGCTTGCTTTCTCCTGCCTATATGAGCTGGACCGGAAGTGGAGCTGCTGGGATGGCGTGCCAGCCAGCGTCACAGCAGTGGGCTGGCCCGCGGGCCACACGCTGGGCCCCATGCTGCCTTCTTCGGGTCCTGCTCCCTGTCACTGTCCAGTAGCCCCTACACTGAATACCTCCCCAGACTGGAGGCCCTGCCTCTGGCCCGTGTTGTGTTGTTAAGGCCACGGCAGGTGGTTGGCTTTGACACAGACTTGAGTGAATGACAGATTGCAAGTAAAATACAGCCTGTGTCCAGCGCCACACCTGCAGGACAAGGTGGCACCTTTCTGTGTGTGTGTGTGTGGGGGGGGTGTTTCTCTTGCGTCTCTGTGTTTTGAACCTCAGGGCCAGGGGCTGGACGGGTGTGAGTCCTTGACCGGGTGCAGCTGTGTTCTGCTGAGCCCTGGGCCCTTGTGGCCCTCGTTTCCTCCTCTGCCGGGCACGTGCCTAGGGCTCATCTCCGTTTTCCTACTGGGGTGTTGATGTTCTTCTCTTTTTCATAGCCTTTTACTAGGAAATGCAAACTGTGATCCCAGGACACGCGCGTGTGGTTTAGGAGGGCGCAGCAGTGCTGCCTGCCGCCTGCAGGGCCATGCCCCGTTTCCAGTCGACTCTACGGCGAGGGGGCGGGGCTCATGGGTTTCTGACCCTGGTGTGAGTGGAGTGGCGGGCAGCAGCTTCTGTATGGGATAGGTGTTCCTGGCCCTGCCCAGGGCGCGGGCTACATTCCTCCCCCCGCAGGACTCGGTTCTCTCTAGAACTGTGCTGCTTTTTTTTTTTTTTCCCCCTATATACAGGTTCAGGAACAGTGACATCCCCACCCCACCCTCCGTCCTGCCCAGCTCCCACCCTTCCTCCTCCTCCCTCTCCCAATCCCACTCAGTTTTTACAAAGATCTGTATTCAGTTTACTTTATACTCATAAGGTTAACCCTACACTCAGTATGAAGACAAAGCCCTGCTCCTCAACAGTCGAGACGAGGGCTGTAAACAATCATGGAGTCTCAGAATGTCCGTTTCTCTCCAACACGTTGCATTCCAGGTACTCTGTTAGTTACCACAGCTGGGGAAGCGTACCGCGTCTGTCTGTCTGGGCCTGGCGTGTTTCACTGGTTGTAGCCATCTCCTTGCAAAAGGCAGGATTTCGTTTCTGTCTGCAGCTGAGTAGCATTCCACAGTGTATGTCTACCGGAATTCATTGTGTCCAGTCATCAGTGATGGACATCTGGGTTGATTCCATATCTTAGCTATTGCGCATTGAGCTGTAGTGAACTTGGGGGTCCAGATAACTCTGTCCCTCTTTTTGCTGTGGGTTTATCCAGGCTTTGTCTTGGCCTTGGCCTAGGGGAGGGTCTGTAGGTGGGGCATCGGGGGCGGGGCATGGGAAGGGCGGGTTGGTGGGCTAGGCAGAGCCTGGTGGGCTGCAGGCCTGGATTGGCTGCGTGGGCTCCGCCTTTGGCTGCTCCCAGACCTGGCGGTTCCCTGAGTGACGTCGGGGTCTTTGCCATACCTGTCGGTGGCACTGCCCCTGTGCCACAGAGGGCACTGTGCTGTGCTCTGGGCCTTGTCTTTAGTAACCTCGGAACTGCTTTTTGACGGACGTATGTTGTCCGCACTTGAGCGTCAGGCAGTGAAGAAGACTTGTATTTCCAGTTCTTGGGGGGCTCACAGGCCGCCTGGGAGCTGAGAACTGGACACTGGAGCCCCCAGTCACAGTGGTCAGGTGGAGCGCTCCCTCGGAGACTCCCAGAGCCGTGTCTGAACCTGGGCTGCCTGGCTCAGGCCGTCTCTTACCTGCCTCCCCAAACTGCCAACTTTCCAGCTTTTTCATTGGGTAAAATAATGTCTTTGGGGGCCGTAGTTTGGCCCCAGAGAGAAGTGGGTGTGCTCCTGCCCCCACCATCCTCCTCTGCTCGGAGGCCAGGAGGCAGGCCCCGGAGTGTGCCGGGACAGGCGCTGGCTCGGGCGCTGAGACATCTCTCTGTTTCTTGCAGCTGCTCAGATGGAAGCTAACAAGCTGTTCATTCTCTCTTCCATGAGGCTCCCTCTTCTTGACACCAACAACAAGGTAAAGCAGGCAGGTCCCCGGAGCTGCAGCAGGAGCCGCAGCAGGGAGCGGCCTGGGGGGACCTGAAGCCCCTGCCCCTTTCCAGCCGGCAGCCAGCCCAGGATGGGACCCTGTAGTGTGTGTGGCCAGAGCAGCCGACCCCAGGCACCACCCTGGGTTCCTGACTCACTGGAAACGGGGCACTGCTGACTTCGGCAAAGGCATATGATGAAAGCTGCCTCCTGAGGAGGGTGCCAGACTGTCCGGCAGGCTCCGGGGCGGAGGTCCTGCCTTGCAGCCACCCTGCCCCACCACACAGAGCAGCCCTGTACCAGGGCTCTTGTCATGTGACCTGGTGACCCCTGGAGGCAGGGATGACGCCATGTTGCCTGAAGCTCCCACCCACATCACTGATAGACCACCTGGTCAGTGCCCAGACCCCAGGCAGGACTTCCAGGAGCCAACGGCAGAGACCAGACCCATCTCTGGGAAGGTGGGCCCTTGACCGCATCCTGGTTACAGGGGCTGCTGCCTTCACAGGAGGCCGCCTCAGCCTCCATGCTGGTCCTGGCTTGCTCCTTGAGACCGTGTGGGGGAGTCTCACTGTGTTTCCCCAAGAGCTTCTCGAACGGACCCCACACCAGCTGTGGCAGGGTCCCCCTTCACATTCGGCGTGTGCTCTCCTGGCATGCCCCAAGTCCGACCTGGCCCAGGCCCGGCGGCCAGCTGCTTGCTCCCTATGGGCCCATCGCCCATGCTGCAGAGTAGGAGGGTCCAAGGAGGCCCCTGACCTCAGGTCTCTGGGAAGCATCATTGGATGCAGGAAGGGAGCAGGCTCTGTGCAGCAGGGGTCACAGTCCTGACTCCAGGAAGGGGTGACTGCAGCCGTCTTGGACTGGACGTGCTGACTGGGAAGTCCGACTGTTGGAGGAACAGCTGCAGGCCAGGGTCTGCCACCTGAAGGGATTGGTGTCCCACAAGAGAAGCCGGTTCTGAGGATGCCGCCCCACAGAAGCTGTGGCCAGTACTGGACAGAGGGCAGGGCAGTGGGGGTGGGGCCTTCCTAGAGTTGGGGGTGAAACTTGGTGGAAGAGGACGCAGGAAGGAGAGGAGTGAGACACGGCGGCTCGTGGGGAGCTGGCGTCGGGACAGCCTTCCCTGGCAGACCGAGTCACGTACACACCGGCAGGAACGCCACTGGTGGGGCGCTCAGAGAGCCTCCAGCACCAAGGGACCAAGAAGACGGCAGGTGCGGGTGGTCTCCATCTGCGGCCCTCGCTGATTCCCCTTGGTTCTGGGCAGGTGAAGCGGGCTGTGGTGCAGGTGATCAGCGCCATGGCCCACCACGGCTACCTGGAGCAGCCTGGAGGCGAGGCAATGATTGAGTACATCGTGCAGCAGTGCGCTCTGCCCCCCGAGCAGGAGGTAAGGGGCTGCCCCGTCACCCGCCGCCTCTGAGCAGGGGCCTTGTTGGAGCCGGGGCTGTGTGCCAGGGCGCCCTCTGGTGTCTGAAACAAGGTCTGCACCACGTACATCCACCTGGCTGCTCCCAGGACGCAGAAAGCAGAGGCAGAAGACAGGGCGTGGTCTCTCTGGGTCTTTTCTCTATAACGTTCCTAAGTAAATGCTGATCTCTCCTTGAAGATCAAAGCAGAGGTGGTAGACAGCAGTCTGGGCACCACCTCGAGCTGCTGCCTCGGAGCCTGCTAGCGGGTGTGTCAGTGCTCGGCTGGGGCTGACGGCTCGGTCAGCTCAGCAGAGGCGTGGCCTCTTCTCGGACGCTCGTGAGCGACCCAGGAGCTGGCGGTACAGGGTAAAGCCCACTTGGTCTGGCTGTCCCCAGTCTGGCTGTGGGTGGTGTTAGCCCGTGTCTCGCAGGGATACTCTTGTCATCATCAAGTGAATCTGGTTCCCTCCGCTCGTTTCTGGAAGAGTTGGTGGAAAATTGACATCATTTCTCCTTACACACTTGGCAGAGTTCCTGAGAGGAGCCCCTTGGGGCCTGTGGGGGGTCTGGGTTGGGGGAGTTCCATCATGAATTCCCCCTTCGAGGGACAGGACTATCGGGGGTCTGTTTCTCCTGTGTAAGCCTTGGCAGTGGATCTCGGGGCCGAGGGTCGTGTTGGGACCCAGAAAATGTCCTCCCGGCTGTGGCGTGTGGAAGGCCCGCTGTGTGCCTTCTTGCCACTGTGAGACACAGGCACACGGATGGGCCCTGCTGGGGGAAGGCTTTGGGGGGCTGGTCAAGGCTACCTCCAAGGTCCCAGCCTCGCAGTAGGAAAGCAGGCGCAGTGCCTCAGGCGCCCGGATGACCTGGTCGCTAGGGATGCTCCAGTATTGAGGTGCTGTCCTGTGGAATGCTGGAGGCGTTAAGGAAGGTGGACGCAGGCTTTTCAAAATATTAAACGGGGGGTGGTGTTGAGCCAAGTGGTTGAGATGCCTGTGTCCCATGTGCTAGTACCTGGGTACAATACCTGGATCTGGCTCTCTTTTAAATTTATTTATTTATTTGACAGGTAGAGTTATAGACAGAGAGAGACAGAGAGAAAGGTCTTCCTTCCGTTGGTTCACTCCCCAAATGACCACTACAGTCGGAACTGCACCAATCCAAAGCCAGGAGCCAGGTGCTTCTTCCTGGTCTCCCACACGGGTGCAGGGGCCCAAGCACTTGGGCCATCCTCCCCTGCCCTCCCGGGCCACAGCAGAGAGCTGGCCTGGAAGAGGAGCAGCTGGGACTAGAACCTGGCGCCCATATGAGATGTTGGTGCCGCAGGCGGAGGATTAAACCAAGTGAGCCACGGTGCCGGCCCCTGGATCTGATCTGGCTCTTGACTCTAGCTTGCTTCCTGCCAGTGCAGACCCTGAGAGGCAGCGGTGATGTGGAAAGTGACTGGGTCCCTGCCACATACCTGGGAGACCTGGATGGAGTTCTGAGCTCCCAGCTTTGTGCCCCTCCCACCCTGGCCCCTTTAGGCATTTGCCTAGAATGGAAGACGGGAGTGGAGAGAGGATCCCGGGATGTTCTCGCACTCACGTTCCTAGCAGTGTTAGTCACAGTAGCTGAGGGGGGCAATCCTGGAGGGAGGGGCGGGTGAGCAGAGCGGGCCCTGCTCTCAGCCCCGCTGCCATGTGTGTGAACCCGAGGCCGCTGTGCCCAGGGAAGCCAGCCAGTTGCGAGAGGACAGACGCTGGTTCCACTGGAATGGGCCCTACAGTGGTCAGGCCCCCACGGACAGGAAGTGGAAGGGGCGGGGAACAGGGAGTCAGAGTTGAGTGCGAGCCGAGTTTCAGTTTGGGAGACAGGAGACTCTGGAAGACAGTGGTGGTGAGGGTTGCGCGGCACTGTGGGTGCACCTAACACAGCTGAGCTGATCATTTGAAAGTTGTTGAGATGTGAATTTTGTGTTCTGTGGATTTTGCCGTGGCTAGAAACAAAAGTCCAAGTTTGCAGAGAACAACCAGGGAGCAGCCCCCGGCCGCCGCGGCCCTTCCCCGTGGGTGCATCACTCCAGCAATGCGGCGAGCCAGGAGGTGGGGAGTGTGCGGTGCGTCCTCCAGCTTTGCTCTGGCTGTTCTGGGTCCCCTGGATTCTCACAGGGATTTATCCTAGGGTCAGCTTGTCCATGTCTACAAAGGAGCCAGCTGGGGCGCTGATAGCCAGTGCTTCTGTCTTAGCAGCGCTGGGTCTCCAGACCACGGCTGGGGTGTGCTCCCAGTTGTGTAGGTCGCTGGTTCCTGCTGACCGGGTTTGGCTTTCCCAGTGCAGCTCTGAGCCTCTTTGTTCATGTGCTCAGGAGCACTGCGTCGTCTTGGCGCTGTTCTTAACGGGGTAGTCTTAATTTAGCTGCACTTTGTGATCGCGCCTGTGGAGAAGTACGGTGCAGTGCTTTGTCCGTGTTCTTCTGTGCCTGCAGCCTGATGGATTCGCCTGCTGGTTCTGATCGATTGTCAGTGGGTTTTCTGCAGACGAGATCATGTCTTCTGCAAACAGAGGCGCCTTTTCCAGTTTGGGTGCCCTTTGTTTAGTTTTCTTGGCAAAGTGCCATGACCAGAACCCCCATGTGAGGTTGGACCAGGGAGTTAGAGGCCCCCTGGCCTCAATCTTTCACCACTCAGTGTGGCACGTGCTGTGAGCGCTTCAGCCGATGAGATTGTTCTTTCTGCTCCTGCATGAAGGGTGTTGAATTTTTAAAATAGATTTATTTATTTTATTTGAAAGGCAGAGTTACAGAGAAAGAGAGAGAGAGATCTTCCACCTGCTGGAGCTGAGCTGATCTGAAGCCAGGAGCCAGGAGCTTCTTCCAGGTCTCCCACATGGGTGCAGGGGCCCAAGGACTTGGGCCATTGTCCACTGCTTTCCCAGGCACATTAGCAGGGAGCTGGATTGGAAGTGGAGCAGTCAGGTCTCAAACCGGCATCCATATGGGATGCCGGCACTGCAGGTGGTGGCTTTACCTGCTATACCACAGAGACACAGAGAGAAGTCTTCCATCTGCTGGTTAACTTCACAGATGGCCACAACGGCCAGAGCTGGGCTGATCCAAAGCCAAGACCTTCTTCTGGGTCTCCCACATGGGTACAGGGACCCAAACACTTGGGCCATCTTCCTCTGTTTTCCCAGGCCATAGCAGAGAGCTGGATCAGAAGTGGAGCAGCTAGGATTCGAACTGGTGCCCATATGGGATGCACTGGCCCTGGGCATCAAATTTTACAAATTTTACAGTGTGCTCATTAAGATGAACATGTGGTGGGCAGTTTGTTGTTTTTAGATTTTGTGTATTTTTTTTAAAAGATTTATTTATTTATTTGAAAGAGAGGCAGAGAGAGAGAGAGAGAGGTCTTCCATCTGCTGGTTCACTCCCCAATTGGCAGCAATGGACAGAGCTGTGCTGATCCAAAGCCAGGAGCCAGGAGTTTCCTCTGGTTCTTCCCATGCGGGTGCAGGGGCCCAAGGACTTGGGTCATCTTCTGCTCTCCCAGGCCATAGCAGAGAGCTAGATTGGAAGTGGACAGCTGGGTCTTGAATCAGTGCCCATTTGGGATGTCAGCACTGCAGACGGCAACTTTACCCACTACGTCTCAGCACCAGCCCCTCGTGTATTTGAAAGGCAGAGGGAGAGGGAGAAACAGAGAGCTTCCATCCATTGGTTCACTTCCAAAATGGCAGAGCAACCGGGCCTGGGCAGGCCAAAGCCAGGAACCCAGAACTCCATCCTGAGTCTCCCACTTTACGGGCAGGGACCCAAGTAGCTAGGCCATCTTCTTCCACTGCTTTCCCAGGTGTATTAGCAGGGAGATGATTGGAAGTGGAGCTGCTGGGGCTCAAACCAGGGTTCCAATGCAGAATGCCTCTGTCACAAGCTACAGCTTAACCCACCGTGCAACAAGGCTGGCCTTAAGCATGTGGTTTTTGTTATCGATGCTAGTGCTACAGTATATTTCAGTAAAGATTTTCCACTGTTAAACCAACCTTGCATTCCCAGGTGAGTCCAGCTTAGTCATGATAAAGAATCCTTTTGTATGTATTGTTGGATTCAGTTTGCTGGTATTTCGTTGAGGATTTCCATGGCTATATTGGTCTGTAGTTTTCTTGTTATATCTTTTATATGCTTCATATATTTTATATACATACACCTGTGAATGCACATTGCTTTCCTAACTCATTTGAGAGAAAAAGATTATATTGAAATTCACAGAGGGGGGAGAGAGAGACCATCTATCTCCTGGTTTACTCCTCAAGTACCTGCAAAAGCTGGGGCTGGGCCAGGCTCGAGCCAGGAGCCAGGGGCCCTGTCAGGCTCTCCCATGTGGTGTAGGGACCCAGGTGCCTGAGCTGTCACTGCTGCCCCCAGGGTGCACATTAGCAGGGAGCTGGGAATCCAGCCCAGGCTCCGGTACTGGACCTGGGAATCCCAAGCGGTAGCTTCACCATCGTGCCAGACACCGCCCCTGCTTGGTTTCTTCGTTAAGGTAACTCAAGTCATTTAAAATCATCTTGGAGCGTCTCCAGGCAGACAGGTGCTGTGACTATCGTAGAGTGGAAGGTGCGCTGCGTTGTGACACTGGATCTGGCCAGAGTGTGTTGAGATACTCTTGTTTTGCCTAATGGTCAGTCTTTTTAAAGTTGTCTGTGGGGCTGTCGCTCGTTTGGTGCAGTAGTCAATCACCATGACCCCAATCTGAGCTCTGCTCCCGTTCCTGCTTCCTGCCTATGTGCACCCTGGGGGGCAGCGGTCAGCGATGGCTCAAGTGGCTGAGTCCTTGCCACCCTCATAGGAGACCCGGATTCTAGGTCCTGGGTCCTGACTTTGGCCTGGCCCAGCTGTCTGTTGTGGGCATTTGGGAAAAGAACCAGCAGATACAAGATCCATGGGTCAATCTCTCTCCCTCTGTCTCTCTGCCTTATAATTAAAATGACAATAAATAAAAACATAAAAATAATGTCTGTGCATGTTCGGTATAAAATTCTGTCTATATTTTTAGAACTTCCTTTGAACATTTAAGGTCTTCACTATTTTTCTTTTCTACTTTTGCTTTCTCGTAGAGGCATTGAGAGTCTCCTGTAATCCTTGTACTTTGCCACTGTCTCCTGTCCCTCAGTTTTGCTCTGTGGTTTCAGGCATGAATGGAGGCTCCCCAGGGAGCCTTGCGGTGTCCCCAGATCCAGAGAGCAGCAGGCACCCCAGGGAACAGCCGCAGGTGTGCCCAGGCTGCCGAGGTCGTGGTATTGCCTTGATGGAATAAGTATGACCATGATTTCCACAGAGGTGGTTTCACTTCTGCCCGTGGTAGGTTGCACAGCTCTGTCCCTGCAGAGCCGCTCTTTAAGTGGGATCAGTGCATCACAGGGAAAGTCTAATTTTCTTTTCTTTTGGAAATGAGCGCTTAGCCAGGTGAACCTGTCTTCGTGGGTGATTGTAGCACAGTACCCCCTGTCTGTTCCCATATGTGGGGCTGGCCAGGCCCTGCCTTGCCCCGTGCAGCTGAGTCTGCACACCCGAAACCTGCAGCTGTGGCGCTGTGGTGCATGTGCGGCTGCCTTGTCCCCCACAGCTGGACCCTGGCTCTGCGGATGCCCCGGCCGACAGTGTGCGGGCAGTCAGCGTGCGCACCCTCTACCTGGTCAGCACCACCGTGGACAGGATGAGCGACGTGAGTGAGCAGGGCCGCCCGACCCCACTGCTGCGGCTCAGCAGGGCTCTTCCAGCTCGAGGCCGCTGCCCCGCTGCATGGGAGGTTTCCCGCCCTGCCCTCCTGGGCAGCAGTTGAACAGTGCTGTGGGCAGTGGCCAGGGGTGCCTGGAGGCTGCCTTGGCTGCAGCAGGACGAGCAAAGGGTCTGCCCGGGTCACTCCCACCTCCCTGGTCCCCTGGAGCGTGCCAGGAGTGCTGCAGCCTCCTGTGGAAGCTGCCGCGTGCAGCCTGCGCCCCGTCCTCTGCTCCCAGGTTCTCTGGCCGCACCTGCTCCAGTTCCTCACCCCTGTCCGCTTCACCGGGGCCCTGACTCCCCTCTGCAGAAGCCTTGTGCATCTGGCCCTGAAGAGGCAGGAGGCGGGGGCCGATGCCTTCCTCATCCAGTTCGATGCCCACGGTGGGTACACAGGATGCCCCGCCCACTCCTGCGGGCCGTCCTGGGGGCTGAGTGACGGTTTCTTCGTTTCTTACCTGCAGTGAACCTCCCGTCTCCCTATGCCATCACCACGAGACTCCTGGTAAGCGCCATCTCTCTACAGCTCGCCGGGCTGGGGAACAGACTCAGGCTAACTGCACCCCCGCCCTCTGAAGACCTCTGGGGAGGAGGGGCTCTCCTCGCTGTCTCCCGCCCCATCTCTGTGGCCCTTGCTGCCTTTTTGGTGCAGAGCCGCCTGGCCGGTGCTCAGGGCAGGGTCTCCCTCTGCCCCCGGGTGGCCGTTGAGGCCCTGGGAGCTCCATGCTCAGACCCTGTTCTCCCTACCTCCCCAGGCTGTGTCTTGCAACCCCTACCTGGGGGATGGGCGTGGGGTGGCCTCACTGCGCCTCCTGCACGTGCTGCACCCCAACATCCACCCTCTGCTGGGTCAGTACTGGGAGAGTGCCGTGCCCCTGCTGCTGAAGCACCTGGACGGTGAGGCCCGGGGCCAGGGGCCACGGCTGGGGGAGGGCTGCTGCCAGGGGAGCCTGCTCTGGGGTCACTGTCACCGGTAGCATCAGGGCTTGGCAGGGGTGACAAGAAAGGGTCTGGGCTGGACGGTGGCTCCTTCCTGGAGCCACCTGGAGCAGATGGATGCGGGGTTGGCCGCCACTGGGTCCTCGCTAGGAGCCCTGAAGTGGGGTGGGGCCTGAGCCAGGAGAGGTGCTGGGCTCTGAGGACCCCGCGGGCGACTGTGGTTTCAGAACACACGGAGGAGACTCTGTCCCCGAAGGAGTGGGAGGCGAGGCTGCTGATGGTGAGATGGGCGGGCCGGTCCTAGGCACTGAGACGTCTTCTGTGTTCCGTGGTGGGAGAGGGGCCGGGGGTGGCACAGGCCAGGACCTGCGCCTTCCAGGGCCATGGGGCGGCCCCAGCCCCGTGGTGCCGCTGCACTGAGCCTCTGGCAGCCAAGGCCAGATTCCAGGCCTGTGAGCCACCTGGCCGTGGGAGCCTTTCTCCCACCCGCCCGCCGCCCGCTGCCTCAGCTCAGGCCAAGCGCTCGGGCTCCTGAGCCCCACGGTGTCCTCGTCCAGTTTCTGCAGGACACTCTGGCTGTTGTTTCTGACAACACGTGGATTTGCCAGCTGAGCCTGGAGATGTGCAAACAGCTGCCCTGCTACAATGGTGCGCCCCGGGAGAAGGTGAGAGCCGCCTGCAGAGGGCTGGCAGGGTCCTGAGGCCCCGAATGCCTGCGGCTCGCACCCGTCCCTCGCTGCCCGCTCTCGGCAGAGCCTGGGAGAAGGCCCGGGCGCCTCCTCCCGTGCCTGATGGCTGGGAGATGGGGAGCCCAGCACTTGCCTGGTCCGTGCTCCCTGCAGCTCCACATCAGGCTGGCAGGATGGCACCCAGGAGCAGCCGTGGCAGCACCGCGTTCTCTGTCTGTTGCAGAACTTCTTGTATAAGTGCATAGGAGCCACCCTGCGTGCTGCTTCAAGTAGGGAGGTGGTGAGGAAGCACCTGCGTGAGCTGCTGGAGACGGCCAGATACCAGGAGGAGGCAGAGCACGAGGTGCCACCCCCGCCCGCCGGCCCGCGTGTGTGCGTGGCATCCCCGTGTGTGCATAGCACACGTCTACATGCGTGCTGTGGACATAGGTGTATGTGCATAGCGCTGTGTGGCTGCACCTGCGAGCTGTACCGTCTACATACATGTGTGTGTGCAGTGTGTGTGCTCCCCCTGTACACACAGGTGAAGGGCACGTCCTCCTGGCCCGGGTGTGAGTGCACCTGTGTATCTTCCCAGGGCCTCGCCTGTTGCTTTGGAATCTGTGCCGTTTCCCACCTCGAGGACACCCTGGCCCAGCTGGAGGACTTCGTCAGGTCGGATATGTCTCGGAAGTCCATCGGCATTTTCAACATATTTAAGGTATAGGGACCATGTTGGACCCTGGGCTGGGAGGGCCGTCCTGTCAGCCCCTGCACTCCATCCGGTGGCCCTGAGGGCTGGGGGTCCTGCCCTTCGCAAGCTTGCACTGGGGCAGGAAGCCACGTCAAGCTCCTGGGGCCCTTCTGGCTCCCTACAGCCCTCCTGGGGGCGTGGGCCGTCACCCAGCTGAAGGGGCAGCAGGACCTCCCAGAGGCAAACCCTGGCGGGGCTGGGGGCCGGGAAGGGAAGGGCCACCTGCTGCCCTCTGGTGGCCGGCAGGGGCTGTGTTCTGAGTTAGGGAAGGTGTGGATGCCCAGACGGCAGCGGTGGTGCCTGCTTCCTCTTAGGTGACTCTCAGGGCTGCCCCGGGCGTGCAGAGGTGGGACAGGCTTGAGGGCAGAGGGCTGCTGGGAGCCACGCACCGTGGCCCAATTTCCCCTGTCTCTTGGTCCCCTGGGGGCCTGTGCCTGGCCAGCCGTCCTCCTGCCGTCCCTACACCATCCTCAGGGACACAGGCCTCTGGCTCAGTCCTAACTCTGCCATTGCCGGCTGGCTCTGGCCCCTTTTCTGAGAAAACTTCAGGATGTTGGGAGCTTGTGGGTCTGGGTCCAAGGCTCCCTTTCGGTGAGTCAAGTGAGTTCCTGCCACTACCTCTGCCCGCCAGGATCGAAGCGAGAGTGAGGCGGACAGGGTGAGGAGTGCGCTGGTGCTGTGCTACGGGCACGTGGCCTCGCAGGCCCCCCGTGAGCTGCTGCTGGCCAAGGTGGAGTCCGACATCCTCCGGAACATGTTCCAGGTCTTCAGCACCAAGGTGGGCACCATGGCTGCGTGGGGCGGGCAGGCGAGGGGCCTGCCGACAGCAGTGTCTCACGTCTTACTGCTTCCACTTTCTGTCACTCAGGTTCTGGGAATAAAGATAGAGAGCAAGGTACAGTGGGGACGGAGCGGGCTCTTCCTCACTGTCTCCTCTGCCTGGCTCAGACTCGCTGGGGCTCCTGGGCGCAGGCCCTGAGCGGGGCTGGGGAGCGGGGAGGCGTCAGCATCTCCTGGCAGCCGGATCCTGGGCTTGCACCCCAGGGGGGCCGAGCCCCAGGCAGTCCAGGGACAGGCTCTGCTCCCTGCTGCTGTCGGGCGCTGCCCCTGTTTGGACCCCTCCTGGCCCCCCTGAGGCCCAGCCCCAACCTCACTAACCTTCTCCAGCACTAACCGACGAGTTGGTTGGGCACCTTTTGAAGAGCAGACTCTTCTGTGTCTTGCAGGGTGGCTGGGAGGGTGATCTTTGGCCCTCCATGCCCTCAGGACCCTGCCCGACCCCTTCTCCAGGGCCTGCAGGTGGGGAGCAGCCATCCAGGGCCCCTGGCCGTGGACATGGCATCTGCCCTGTGGCCTGTCTGCCCAGGACTGACATGGGGCCCTGGGCTCCACCTTGGAGAGCCAGGAAGAAGGGGGGACGTTGGCTGTGCGGGGAAGAGAGGCGTGTCCACAGCCTGTGCTGGTGGCCACCGCCCCAGGGCTGAACCACCCTGGGGCAGGTGTTGGCGGCCCCTGCAGCCCCTGTGGCTGTGCCCTCAGGACCCCACCCTGAAGCAGTGCCTGGTCCAGGGCCTGTGCATGGTGAGCCAGGCTATTCACAGCAGCGTGCAGGCCGACAGCTTCCAGTTCTCCAAAAAGGCAGAGCTGGTGGCGCAGCTGATGGTGAGTGCTGGGGGGCGGGGGGGGGGGGGGCCACCACAGCCGTGGGAGGAGGGGAAGGGGCCAAACAGGGAGGAAAGCTGGAACCCCCCCATGGGCTGAGTCCCGCGGCTGCCTCCCCAGGAGTTCATCAGGGCAGAGCCCCCAGACTCCCTGAGAACACCCATTCGGAACACAGCCATGCTTACCTGTGCCTGCCTGGTGTATCCTTCCTGTGTGTGCCCGTGTATGTGTGTGCACATGCCTGTGGGGGGCAGCCTTGGACCTGGAGCACACTGAGCACGTGGCCCCTGTGCTGTGCACATGGGCTCAGAGGTGTGCGGGGGTCTCTGCGGGAGACCTTAACCTGCTGCTCAGCTCCCTGGAGCCGGCACTGGAGGAGCAGGCTCAGGCAGACGTGGTCCACGGCTGCCTGCACAGTGTCATGGCCCTGCCGCCGGAGCCCCAGGAGGAGGGTGCTGACTGCCAGGAGGTATGGCTGTGGGTCCTCACCAAGGGCCAGCGTCTGCACGGGCAGCGGGAATGCCTTGTGGGCGGCAGGGTCACCGAGGGGGCTGGCAGCCTGGCTCTGCTTCCAGCTCCTGTATCTGGACACCATGCGTGCCCTGGAGAACTTGCTGACGAGCCTGCTGCGGAGAAACATGACGCCCCAGGGCCTGCAGGTCATGGTCGAGGTGTGTCGGGGCCTCTGCTGGGGGCGGGGCCTGGTGACCGGCTGCTCGCCTGTCTTCCTGTCCTCTCTTCCCATGGGGGCACCACGATGCCCCTTGCCGATGTGGGGAGCAGGGCATTGTGGACCGAGTGATGGGCAGGCCCTGGCCTTGAAGCCACACAGGTGCCCTGCTTGGCCCTGCAGCCTGGGAAAGGTGGCCTGGCGGGCGGCCTTTGGGGTTGCCCCGAGCCAGCACCTGTGTGAAGCCCCCTCTCCCCCAGCACCTGAGCCCGTGGATCAAGTCCCCGAGGGCCCATGAGCGGGCACGTGCACTCACCCTGAGCGCCAGCCTGCTGCGCTACTTCCTGGAGCACCTGCGTGTCAGCGTGAGTCCCCGGGCCCGGCTTTCTGGCTGCCTTCTGCGGCAGTGTTGCCCCCACCCCCCCACCCCCCGGTTGAGAGGTGGGTTGAGGAGTTTCTCAGGCTCGGCACAGAGTTGAGCCAGGTGGTCCCAGGCCTGCAGAGCCCCGGCTGAGGGCACTGCTGGGACTGGGTTCCAGAAACACCCGCCCGTGAGATGCTGGACTTTGTCCTTTGCCAGATTATTGCAGGCTTTTTCCCGGCGCCAGAGCTCTCGTCCTCTGGTGTGTTTCTGGAAGCCGCTCCTGTGCATGCGAGCGGGGCTCTCCCTCCTGCTGGAGCCTCTGAGTCCCGCGCGCGAGTGCCCTCACTGAGGGCAGCGGTGCCTCCCTCCCATCAGGCTGCTTTGGGCAGAGGCCAGGTTTCTCCCAGACAAGGGCAGCAGGGTTAAGAGCCTGTGCTGGCTGAGGGCCACTTCCCTGGGGGCCCAGTGGGAGTGGAGGGGCAGGGCCCTGGGCAGTGGGAGGCGAAGAGGGCAGGGGAAGGATCAGGTGCAGGGAGGTGGGCCCGGGCCAGTCCACAGGGGAGTGACCTTCCGGGGCACATGCAAGGGCGTCGGCCAAGCGGTGCCTGCGTGGCTGTCCTTGTGTGTCCCGCCCCCGGCGGCCATTCGGGGCTGGCTCTCCGTCTGCGCACACCAGCGCTCCAGCAGCACCGTGTGGACTGGATGCCAGGGCTGAGCTGAGGACGCGCTGGGCCGCGGGTCTGGGGAGAAGGAACTCACCACACAGGGCCGTGTGACGCCGGGGGCCCAGGGCTTGGGTGCAGGCTCCTGGCCCCACGCCGGTCTTCCCCCAGGCCTTGGTGCCCTTCCACAACCTGGGCCTCCTTGTCGGCCTCTTCTCGCCACGATGCGCAGACCTGTGGCCTGCCAGCCGCCAGGAGGCTGTGGACTGCGTGCACTCCCTGCTCTATCTCCAGCTGGCCTATGAGGGTGCGGTCTTGGGGGGGGGCCGGGAGGGATGAGGTGTGGAGCTGGGGCCCCTCAGCCTGACCCCTGTTCCTGCCTCACCCCAGGCTTCTCTCGAGACCACCAGGATGACGTGGCGGAGCAGCTCCCCCCACTCAAAGACGGCCTTGTGCACCCAGACCCTGCCACCCTCTTCCACAGCTGCCACAGCATAGCCCAGGTGCCTGCCAGCACGACAGAGCGGGGGAGGGCTGTGCCGGGCTGGGAGGGCCTCCCGCAGCCTCTGCACTTGCCCTCATTGGAGCCATCCCGTCTGGCGCTGGCCCTGTGTCCTGTGCCTGCCGGCCCTGGTTCTCTGCCTGGTGAGGCCTGGCCGTCACCAGCCCGCACACTGCAGATGTGGGTCCCTGGAGCAGACTCGGAACCATGGTGCCAGTGTCGGTGCGCACAGGCCGCCTGTGCTGCTGCCTGCCTGCCTGCCTGAGAGCCACGGGGGCTGTGGGGGCACCAGGCCAGGTAAGTGGGGAGCAGCAGGTGCTTCTCCCACTGCAGTGTGGGAGGCGGCCCCGTGGCTCCCCGCTGCCTTCCCTGGGCCCCAGGCTGGCCCTGAGCTGTCCTGCCCCCCAGGCCCAGTAAGGCCCAAGATTCCTTTGTCCCAGGCCCCCCTAAGGGCCACGAGAAGTCAGGACATGGCTGCACTCCCGTTTGGGAGTAGCCCCTGGGGTCTTGAGGCGTTGTCTCCAGTAGAGGACAGAGGAAGGAAGGGGTCCCCTGGGTTGGGGGCTCAGCCCTGGGGAGCAGAGACCACCCGGGGCCAGTCAGGCTCGGGTGGGACTTGGTCGTCTTGGGGTCAGGCCTCAGTTGCCTCCACCTTCCCTTGGCTCCACACTGCCACGGTTGCTGGAACTCCTGGCCCTTCTCTGCTTTGTCCCTTGCCGACCTGGTCGTCTTGGGGTCAGGCCTCAGTTGCCTCCACCTTCCCTTGGCTCCACACTGCCACGTTTGCTGGAACTCCTGGCCCTTCTCTGCTTTGTCCCTTGCCGACCTGGTCGTCTTGGGGTCAGGCCTCAGTTGCCTCCACCTTCCCTTGGCTCCACACTGCCACGTTTGCTGGAACTCCTGGCCCTTCTCTGCTTTGTCCCTTGCCGACCTGGAGGAGAGCCAGGGCCCCCGCGGTGGCACAGGCTGCTGAGCGGCCTCCTCCTTGTTCTGGAGAGTTCCAAGGTGGCTGCACAGGGCCTCCCCCAGCTCGCCCTGCTCAGGAGGGGCCCTGGGAGGGCACCTCAGCTGCCCAGTGCTTCTCCAGGAGTGCCAGCCCGAGGTTGGAGGGCCACACGGGGCGCGTCTGACGGTGCCCCCCTCTCCGCTCACCTAGATCATTGCCAAGCGCCTCCCGCCAGACCAGCTCATCAGCCTCTTGCTGACCATGTTCGAGGGCCTGGGAGACCCGGACAAGAACTGCTCTCGAGCCGCCACGGTCATGATCAACTGCCTGCTGCAGGAGCGGGGCAGCGCGCTGTTGGAGAAGGTGAGGGCGGGGCGGGCGGGACCCGGATGGGGCCAGGCTGGGGGCGCTGTTGGAGGTGGGGCCGGGGCGGGGTCAGAGAGGGGCGGTGCCCTGCTGGAGGTGAGGGCGGGGCCAGGCTGGGGCAGGGCAGTGCAGTGCTGGAGGTGAGGGCGGGGCCAGGCTGGGGCAGGGCAGTGCAGTGCTGGAGGTGAGGGCAGGGCCAGGGATGGGGAGGGGCCAGGCTGGGGCGGAGCAGCACGCTGTTGGAGGTGGGGCCGGGGCGGGGTCAGAGCGGGGCGGTGCCCTGCTGGAGGTGAGGGCGGGGCCAGGCTGGGGCAGGGCAGTGCACTGCTGGAGGTGAGGGCGGGGCCAGGCTGGGGCAGGGCTGTGCACTACTGGAGGTGAGGGCGGGGCCAGGCTGGGGCAGGGCGGTGCACTGCTGGAGGTGAGGGCGGGGCCAGGCTGGGGCAGGGCGGTGTACTACTGGAGGTGAGGGCGGGGCCAGGCTGGGACAGGGCGGTGTACTACTGGAGGTGAGGGCAGGGCCAGGCTGGGGCAGGGAGGTATACTACTGGAGGTGAGGGTGGGGCCAGGCTGGGACAGGGCGGTGTACTACTGGAGGTGAGGGCAGGGCCAGGCTGGGGCAGGGCGGTGCACTGCTGGAGGTGAGGGCGGGGCCAGGCTGGGGCAGGGCGGTGCACTGCTGGAGGTGAGGGCGGGCCAGGCTGGGGCAGGGCGGTGTACTACTGGAGGTGAGGGCGGGGCCAGGCTGGGGCAGGGCAGTGCACTACTGGAGGTGAGGGCGGGGCCAGGCTGGGGCGGGGCAGGGCACTGCTGGAGGTGAGGGCGGGGCCGGGCTGGGACAAAGTGGCTGTGCACCTACACCTGGCCGCCCCCAATATGACCTTTGTTGCTCTGCCCTCTCTCCTGTGGGCCAGTTAAGGACAAATATTTGTGTTAATCCGAAGACAGATTCGTCAAAACCAGCCATGCCTAGAATCACAGGGAAGAGCAGTCCAGAGGGAGCACTGGGAGTGGGCCGTGGCTCTGGCTGAGCTGGGCTCCGGGGCTGTCCCACCTGCCTCTTCTGGGCTGACTTGCGTGTCTCTGTGCCCAGCACCTTCCAGTCTGCTGGGCACCCGTGGGCCGGGTGGCTACTAGAATGCAGCTGGAGGGTTTGGGCTTGGCCCGTTTCCCTGGGGGGGTGTTGAAGCCAAGACTTTGGGCAGAGAAGCGGAGGCGTTGGAGTTGGCGCAGACAGCCACGGCAGAGCCTCCTGCCAGCTCCCAGGCCTCACCCCAGCTGCTGCCCTGTATCACAGGCGAGGGGAGCTGGTGTGTGGGTGCAGGGTGGGCTTAGTGCCCTTCTGCTTCTCGGCTGGGTGTGTGGGTCACTGACCCGGGCTGTGTCCCACTGCCCCTCCTGCAGCCTCAGTGAGCTCTTGGGCACGTCCCAGCTGGCCGTCAGGCAGAGGCCCCGAGGGCCCACCCGGGCACCGTGGCCAGGTTCAGCTTGCACTTCTCTGCCGACGGCGCATCTGCGCCTCCTTGGCTGTCTTCCACGGGGACCCCTTAGAGCAAGGCTCACGTGTGTGTTGGTTTTGGGGAGCTTTGTACCTTTCGGGTACAGGTCATCTGTTGGGTTTGTATGTTGCACACATTGTCCTAGGGAGGGGTGTGTCCAGCAGGAGCCCCGAGCAGGGGAGCCTGTGTGTGTCGTAGTGTCTGTGCCATCATGGGCAGGTGAAAGAGACTGGCGGGGGAGGGGGGGAGGCCACAATCGAGACAGCTGGCTTAGCAGGCTGAGGGGCTCTCCAGGTCAGATGGAGGGCTGGGCGGGGCTGGGAGGGGTGGCCGCTGGGCGTTGCGTGTGGTCCCAGGTGTGTGGACCACGCTTTGTTATCCGTCACACGTGGGCATATCCCCAGAAGCGAGATTGTGGAGTCATGAGGTGATTCTATGTTTAAATTTATTTTAATAGGTTTTTTTTTTTTTTTTTTTTTTTTTTGCATAGTGAGAGGGAGAGACAGGAAGAGAAATCTTCTACCCGCTAGTTCAGTCCCCAAATGACTGCAACGGCCAGGGTGAAGTCAGGAGCCAGGCGCTCCATCCGGGTCTCCCACATGGGTGGCAGGGGCCCAAGCACTTGGTCTGCCTTCTGCTGCCTCCCCAGGCAGGTGAGCAGGGAACTGGGCTGGAAGTGGAGCAGCTGGGACTGGAGCTGGAGCTCGGATGTGGGCTGCTGGCATGGCAGCTGGTGGGTCACGTGCACCATGCAGCCGGTCCACGTTTCTGAGGAAGCGCCCAGCTGCTTTCCCCCGTGGCGCACAGGCGTCCACGTCACTCTCCGCCTGCTCTCAGTGGCAGTCCTGACACTGCAAGGTGCTGTCTCCTTGTGGTTCTCTGGGCTTTTTTTTTCTCTCCCATTTGTATGTCTTCTCTGTTCAAGTTCTTTGCCCTTTAAAAACTACTAGTTAACAGGAAGGGAGACAGGCAGAGAAAGCTCCAGTCTGCTGGTAAACGCTCCCAAATGCATACAACAGCTGGGGCTGGGCCAGGTTGAAGCCAGGAGCCAGGAACTCCATCCAGGTCTCGCGTGTGGGTGGCAGGGACCCGACAGGGAGCCATTACTGCTGCCTTCCAGGAGGCGGGAGCCAGAGCCAGACTTCAGACCCAGGTGCCCTGAAGGGTGCTGGGTGTCTTCATGGGTACCTTTACTGGCATCCTAACTCTGAGGCCAAATTCCCACCCTTGCCCATTTGTTTTTTAAATTTGTTTGAAAATCAGAGATACAGAGAGAGAGAGAACCACCATCTGCTGGTTCACTCCCCAGATGGCCACGGTGGCCAGGGCTGGGCCCGGCTGAAGCCAGGAGCTTCATCCGGGTCTCCTACATGGGTGGCAGGGGTTCAAGCACTTGGGCCACCTTCTCCTGCTTTTCCTAGGCCATTAACAGGAAGCCTGATTGGAAGTGGAGCAGCTGGGATGTGAACCGGTGCCCAGATGGGATGCCGATGTTGTAGGCAGCAGCTCTGCCGGCTACACCACAGCTCCACCGGCTGTGCCACAATGCGTGCCCCTTGTGCCCATTTTTAAATCAGATTATTGGGGCAGATGCTGTGGCGTAGCGGGTAAAGCCGCCGCCTGCAGTGCCCGCATCCCATATGGGCGCCGGTTCTAGTCCTGGCTGCTCCACTTCTAATCCAGCTCTCTGCTGTGGCCTGGGAAAGCAGGGGAAGATGGCCCGAGTCCTTGGGCCCCTGCGTCCATGTGGGAGACCCAGAAGAAGCTCCTGGCTCCTGGCTTCGGATCAGCGCATCTCCAGGCATCGCAGCCATTTGGGGAGTGAACCAGCGGATGGAAGACCTCTCTCTCTCTCTCTCTGCCTCTCCTTCTCTGTGTAAGTGACTTTCAAATAAATAATAATAAATAAATATATATATATAAATCAGATTATTTAATGTTTTTGTTGTTGAGTTGTCAGAATTTTTTAAGATTTGTTTATTTGAAAGAGAGAAAGAGAGTGAGAGATCCTGCCGGCCCTCTCGGGCATCTTCTGACAGCAGCCCCCTTCACTCCCCAGATGGCCACAATGGCCTGGGCTGGGCCAGGACAAAGCCAGGATCCAGGAGCTTCGTCCGGGTCTTCCCTGTGGGCACAGCAGCCCCAGCACTTGGGCCGCCTTCCTCTGCTTTCCTAGGCGCATTAGCTGGGAGCTGGATTGGAAGTGGAGCAGACGAGACTTGAACCGGTGCCCCTTTGGGGTGCTGGCGTCACAGGCAGCAGCTTCACCCGCTGCACCACAGCCCTGGCCCCCAGAATGCTCCGTGCATTTTGCACAGTAGACGCTGTTGGAGTGGCGACTTGCTAAGGTAGTCTCCTTTTATCCGTGGACTTTTCAGCATGGATTGTCTTATGCACAAAAGGTTTTCGGTCAAACAGCTCTTCATTTGTGTTTTTCTTTGGCTGTGTTGTTGCATCACGTCTGAGAGATCATTGCCTGGTCGACTGTCACGAAACTTCCCTGTTGTCTTCTGGGAATGTTGCAACTCTGGGCCCATTGTTGGTAAAGCGGATGTCCCCCTGGGCACAGTGCCCTGGGCAGGCTGCCTCCTCCAGCCCAGGTTTGCCCCCGTGCCCTGGGGTCCCAGGAGCCTCCCCCTCTGCGGGGTCCTCGCAGCCATGAGTTTCCTGGCGCTGATGCAGAAAACCTGGTCCTGTGCCAGCCTGAGCCCCGCCCACAGGGTGATCACGGCAGAACATGGTGCAGGCCCTGGTGTCGCCGGAGCTGCCGAGTGGGGAGGGGTCTTCATGGGTCGAACAGGATGTGCAGGTGAAACTAAGGGAAGAAGAGGCGCCACTTGAAATCGACAGGCAGAAGCGGGGGTGCAGCCCCCGTGGAAGCAGCCTGGAGGGTGTTTCAGATGGCTGGGCCCAGAGCAGCCCCCAGCACGGCGCACGCCACACACAGACTGCAGTGCAGAGCCCGCAGTCCACTGGGGGGAACGCGTCCGTCCACTGGTCTGCAAGAAAATGTGCCCCTTGATGGGCACTTGGCACGCGGTCGAGCTGCTGCCTGGGACACCCGCAGTCCACCGTGGACTGCCTGGCTTCACGTCGCAGCCGCACTCCGGCCTCGACTTCTGCCAGTGCATCCCGGGAGGCAGCAGTTGACAGCCCAAGGATGGGAGGCCCAGAGGAAGTCCTGGCTCCTGGCTTTGTCCTGGCCCAACCTTGGCTGTTGCAGGCATTTGGGAAGTGATCAGTGGATGCAAGACCTCATTCCCTGTCTGCCTTTCAAATAAGTTCAAAAAGAAGCAAAGGATGGGTTCCATCATGCAGCCCGTGGACACACAACAGAACATACATGCCCATAGACAGGAGCGCAGCATGGAGTGAGCTGGTGAGCGTGTGAACCGTGGAAGCATCACACTCCTGAAAGAAGCCAGCCCAAAGGCCATCACTCCCAGAAGAGCAGCCCATGTGGGCAGGAAGGGGGTCCGAGGTCAGAGGGGAGGGGTGAGGGAAGGCTCCAGCCCTCGGGGGCCGCTGCCGAGAACCCCTGAGCTGCGTGCTTGACCGTGTGCCTGACTCCATCCCAGGGAAGCCCCAGGAGCACACCGTGCCGAGGCCTGGGCGTGCCGGTGCTGAGCCTGGAAGAGCCTGGAAGGTGTGGCGGCGCTGAGTGCAGAGCCCGCAGTGTAGCTGCCCCTGTGAGGGAGGCCTTCCCGAAAGCTGGGAGAGCGGGAAGCAGCTGGAGGAGCACAGTCCAGAGACTGGCCAACAGGGAGGGGTGCAGGTGGAGCAAGGAGATGAGCCCAGGACTGGGGCTGCGGATGCGGCCGTGCTGTGCCCTGAGCGGGGGTCAGCAGCTCTCTGTACCCGGCCTGCCCTGAGCGGGCAGTGGTGATGCAGGAGCTGCCCGCAGCCGCCTGCCAGTGGCTCCCTGCGCCGGCACGCGCGGACCTGGCCCTGCTGGCTGTGCCGTCTGCTGTGGCACTCAGCGCGGCCCTGTTTACCACGCCGGTCCTGTCTCGGGTTCCTGGCTGCCCAGGCCGTCTGGTGGGTCCTGTGGCCATGTCCAGGAAGTTTGGCATCAGCTCTTGCCTGAGAATGCGTCGTAGGTGGAGCCCCAGTCTGCCGCCGTCCCCAGGGGTGAGGCGAGTGTGCGCCCACCTTGGGCCGTGCTCAGTGGAGACTCCGGGCCAGTGCCTTGGGCACAGGGACCCAGTAACGAGGTGGTGTCCAGAATGAAGCCATTGGGGTCCCACAGCAGAGGGCTCCCTGCCCACTGCCCACGTCCTCTGCCCTTCCGTCACTGCTGTCAGGCAGGTGTGTCGTCCTCTGCCCCACCCTGCCGTCTCCAAGACTGGCCTGGAGACTGGTGTCCCGTCTCCATCCGGGTGCCTCCTGGCGCCCGGGCCTGAGCACCGCTGTCTTGTCCGCAGGTCCCCGAGATCGTGAGCGTGCTGCGTTGCAAGCTGCGGGAGACGCAGGAGGAGCACGTCCTGCCGGCCGCCCAGCACAGCGTGTACCTGCTGGCCACCCAGCACTGCGCCGCCGTGGTGTCCAGCCTCCTGGGCAGCCCCTTGCCCTTTGACAGGTACCAGCGCTGCGAGCTGTGTGCGTCCCCACGGCTGCTTGCTGCCCCCGCCGCATGACGGCGTCTCCCCAGAGGGCAGTGCCTGCTCCCGCCAGCACCCCTGGGGCTGCACGGGGAGCTCAGCGTTTGGGGCGCCTGCCCTGCCCTGGCCCCGTAGCGTGGGTTCCTGCAGGCTTGGGGACCGTGCTGTCGGGGCGTCCCTCGGAAGGCACTGTTTTCACTCGATGGTGCCTTTTACATCAAGGTGCGCGTGCCTGGTGCCCCTCCCCTGTTGCCATGGCTTCTGGCCTGCTTGCTTCTCTGTGCCTGTGTGTCCCACGGGCTGTTTCCAGAAGCCCTGCCCTGTGCCTGGTCCTCCCATGGTCCCCTTGAACTGGATGAAGTCCAGCTTGTCTCAGACTAGACAGGGGTCCTGAGACCTCTCAGCTGATGTTCACTGGTGCCCGCATCTGTTAGCTTTCTTAAAAAGAATTGTTTGATTTATTTGAAAGGTAGAGAGAGTGAAGTCTTCCATCTGCTGGTCATTGCCCAGATGGCTGCAGTAGCCAGGGCTGGCCCAGGCCAAAGCCAGGAGCTTCATCCAGGTGTCCCTCGTGGGTGCAGGGGCCCAAGCATGTGGGCCGTCTTTCACTGCTTTCCCAGGCTCGTTAGCAGAGAGCTGGATCCATGGTGGAGCAGCCAGGACTCGAACCAGCACCCGTATGGGATGCTGGCGCTGCACGTGGCGGCTCTACCCGCTACGCCACAGCACCGGCCCTGGAGCCTACCTTTGGGAGGCCCCTCCAGCTGCTGTCACCAGAGGTATTAATCCGGTCTTGAGCTTTGTGTCAGTGCTGCCCAGTATTTTTTCTTTGTAAAGATTTGGTGGTTTGAATGGCAGAATTAGAGATGAATTTCCATCCTCTGGTACACTTCCCAAATGGCCACAGTAGCCAGGGCCAGGCTGAAGCCAGGAGCCTGGGACTCCATCCTAGGACACTCGGGCCACCTTCCGCTGGTTCCCAGGCGCATCAGCAGGGAGCCGACGACCTGGCGCCCCGGCTGTGGTGGAGACCCAGGCGGTGCTGCAGGGCTACTCTGCTCCACCCGTTTCTGTTCTGTGTGCGCGCCTGGGAGGAGATGCCAGGTGTTGTACACGCAGGGAGGAGACCAGAGTGACAGCAAGGGGCACGGGATGCAGATCCGTGTTCACACCCACCACCACCACCACCCCCCCCGCAGCCCTGGGGTCGCCGTGGTCTGCAGAGCTCAGACCGTTCCCTGGCCCTGCCCTGGGCACAGGTGCTGCCAGGCAGAGCCCACCCTCCCACTGTCTGGGCCCGGGCCCGGAGGCCACGCCCCTCACTGCTGCGGCCCTGGTGGCCACTGTGCCTGCAGGGGGTCACTTGCGTCCGCCCAGCCTGTAACTCACTTGGCATTCAGCACGGGTCTCGGGTGGTCCTCTTCCCCTGCTCTCGAGAGCCAGCTTTGCCCCTGGTGCCCGGCTCTCCCTGGAGACACCCACTGTCCGGCCCCCATAATCTGCTATGCCTTCCGGTTTCTACCATGTTCTGTCTGTGCTGGGTTCTGGGAGTTGTCTCCCAGTTCAGTTTCTCTTCTGTATCCAGGCTGCCGTTTCTCTGAGGCAGAGAGACAGGAACCACTGTCCACTCTGCAGACACCCGCAACAGCCAGGGCCAAAGCCTGGAGCTGGGGCAGTCAGTCCAAGCATCTCAGCACTGCGGGCCCAACGCTGGGGAGCTGGTGGGAGGAGCAGAGCCGGGACTGGAACCCAGGCACTGAGCTAGACAGCTGTCTACAGGCCTCGCTCCCGTGGTAGCTCAAGGCTGGCGGCCAGCGTGGCTGCTCGGCGGTCCCCAAGGCCTCAGCTGCACCCCTCTTGCACAGGCCTCCTGCATGCCTGCTTCTTTCTGGGCTGCTCTGGGCCAGGCATGGACGCTGCTTCCTCCAGGGGCCCCTCCCAGCCCCTGTGTCCCAGCCCTGCTCCCCTAGGGCCCTGGGGTCAGAGGCAAGGGAGCTCGGACCTGAGGTCAGGAGTCCACCTTCCGCCCAGCTGGGGCTGAGTCTGAGCCCTCCAGGGCCATGGCTGAGGGGGCAGAGACAGTCGGGCCTTGGGGTACCGTGGTCAGTGGTGGCTCAAGGCCCCTCCCCTCCCTCCTGCTTCAGCCACACGTGTGCCTTGTGGCGGGCACTGGCTGTGGAGGCCAGCCTCAGCGCCCAGGTCCTGAGACTGCTCCTGGACAAGATGAGCAAGGACGTGCCCTTCAAGGAGAGCCGGACCTTCCTGCCAGGCACCGCCCCTGACCGTGTGGCCACACTGCTGCCCCTTGCGGTAAGTGGGGGCTGCACTGGGGCACGGGAGCCTCGGCTCACAAGGCCCTCACGGGTGTTGGCCCCAGGGGTGGCCACTTTCACTTTATCCTGCGGAAGAAAACTAAATGCAGCTTGGCAAGGCCCTAAAGCAGCTGTGAGGGCTTCCTTGGAACAGATGTCCCCCATCCCCGCCCGAGGCCGTGACCTCGACTGCCCACGGTGTGCTGGCCGAGGGCTCTTGGATGGTCGGGGGGCTGCAGCCCAGCCCTGCGGTGCCCCCCAGGCCACCTGCGCGCTCCGTGAGGTCGTGTCCGCCCCAGCGTCAGCGCCCGCGGTGCTGGAGCTCTACCCACAGCTGTTTGCGGCCCTCCTGCTGCGGGTCAGCAGCACCGTGGGTGTCCAGCTGCCTCGGAACCTGCAGGCCAAGGAGAGGAGGGGCGCCGGCACGGCTCCAGGGAGCCTCGAGCCCTGCAGGTAACAGGGTCCTTCCTTCCACTCCCAGTGCGGATGGACACATGTGGGTGCGGCGTGCACGCGTGGCCAACACGCTCTGGATGGGAGACTGGGGGGAGCGGCTCTGGAAGGAAGCCATCCACAGAGTGGCCTGGGTGTGCCACACATGGCCGTGGTGCCTCCACCTCTGCGAGGGGCTCCACGCCTTCCCCTGGGGACCTCGTGGTCCCCGCCAGATGCGCCCTGGGTTCTGGTCCAGGAGGCTGGCGGCCAGGCCGGGCCACCTCCCAAACCTCAGGCCCTGACCTCTTTGGCCACCCCTGGGTTGCATGGTGGCACTTCAGGGCCCCTCCTGGCTTCCACAGGCCTAACAGTGACAGCTGGGGCTGCTGGCTCTGGGTTTGGGTGGGCCCTTTGGCCACCCCACGTGGCACTGCCTTGCCCCAGGACTGGCTCAAACCCCAGCAAAGGTTAGTGCCAGGACCGACCCAGCCTTGTGCAGACTGAGTGGGGGGCCGCTGTCCTGTGGAAGCCCATGGGTCTTTGGCTGGGCTCCCTGTCTCGCCCTTAGGGGGAACCCTGCTGTCCAGTCCCCATAGGGGCTGGTGCAGTTCTCCCCTCCACTGGCATCATGGGCCTCATGTGATCTGCTGTCCAGTGTCTCTCGCAGGGGTTGGGGTGTGTTAGAGTGTCGGATGTGGAGGGCTAGTGTGGGCAGTGCTACCCTGGGAGGCCACTGGGGCTCCCAGACCCCTCGGGCCACTTGGCTCCTGCGACCTATTCGCCCGCACTCAGGCCTTCTCCCCAGGGGTCAGCTCTTCCACTCACTCCACGGTGGGCTGAGGACTAGACCTGGACATCAGCAGGCTGGCCAGGGCCCAGTATGTGAGGTGGCCACCGCTGGTGTGGGCAGCTCGACAGGGACAGAGAACCCAGACTTCTCTGAGGGGCCTTACCCGCACCACAAGTGCGCATGTGCACACACCCCTGAGGCCGGGCCACAGGGCATGCCTCCCACCCACCCCAGCCAGTCATCCGCCTGGCAGCTGCACCCAACACTGGGGAGGGGGTGTGGGCCCAGCCACTGTCAGACTAAAGGTGGGCACGCTTGGGGATGGGACCCTGCATGCACCCCCAGCCAGGACCAGTGCTGTGCCTGAACGGCTCCTCCCCTTGGTGCTGGCTGGCTGGCCTGGCTCCGGGGTCTCTGCCCTGGGTGGGGTTGCACCTGGTCAGCCACTTCCCCTTGGCCACCGAGCCCCGTGCACCTGCAGCTCTGCGGTGGACGCCCTGCGGGCCGTGCTGCTCCGAGCGGGCAGCGAGGACGTGGAGCAGTGTGTGGAGCTGGAGGGAGGCTGGGCGCTGCTCAGCGCTTCCGCAGGGCACGAGGAGGGGGTCACCCGGCTGGCCAGGTAAGCGGCTGCAGCGCTGGCGGGGGCCCATGGGGCACTGTGGGGCTGGGCTGCTGGAGACCGGGGGACCCAGGGAGCAGCGGGCTCCAGCTTCCTGCAGCTGGGGGAGTGGGGGGGAGGGGTTAGCCTAGTGGGCAGGCTGGGAGGCGGAAGTACCCCGTAGACCCCCTCCGGGTGGGGAGCACCTGCAGCCCCCACACCTCTTGGCCTCCCCAGTGCCATGGCCAAGCACGCAGGCCCCCGGCTGCCCCTGGTGATGAAGTCCCTGGCATGCATGCAGGGCAGCCTGTACGAGGTGCAGCGGGTCACCTCCACCGCCTTCCTGGCCGAGGTAGGACCCTCGTGGGCCGTCCCTCCCCCACAGCCTCCCAGACCCTCCCTTCGCTGCGCCTGGACTGCTGGCCCCAAGCTCTGCCAGGCGCCTTCTGAGGTTCCTTTGGTGGCCAGTGCTCCACCCCCGGGGGCCGACCTGGAGGCCCAGGCTGCCCTCGGCCAGCTGTCCGGGGGTGGGGGCACCCAGTGGACACGGCGCCTCTGCCCCCAGCTGCTGAGGAGCAGCGTGGCGGACGACCTGACGCTCCTCGAGTCGCTGCTGGACAGCCTGGCAGCCCGGCAGCAGGACCCCTGTGCCGGTGTGCGGCGGCTGGTGCTCCGCGGGATGTCCAACGTCGCCTCGGGCTCCCCTGACAAGGTGACGCGGGGGCCCAGCGGTGGGCTCGGGGTGGCCCCCGCGGGCAGCCTGTGCCAGAGTGTGGGGGTCTCCAGGTGCGGGCTCACGGCCCCCAGCTGCTCACAGCCATGGTCGGCGGGCTGGACGACGGGGACCACGCACACAGCCCGGTTGCCCTGGAGGCCATGGCGGGCCTGGCGCGGCTGGTGGAGCTGGTGGAGGCGCGGGAGCTGCGCGCCGTGCTGCTGCACGTGGCCATCCGGACCCGGCCCTTCTTCGACAGCGTACGCAGCCCTGAGCCCCTCCCCCGTGCGCCGCACACCCCGAAGAGGGACCCCGGCTGCCCCACCGGCTCGCCAGCCTTGCCCACCCCTAGGCAGAGGCAGGAGGGTGGGCACCCCGAGTGATGGCCACACCCGCAGGACAAGACGGAGTTCCGGACCGCGTCCATCCGCCTTTTCGGCCACCTCAATAAGGCGTGCCACGGGGCCTGCGAGGACGTCTTCCTGGACCAGGTGGTGGGTGGGCTGGCGCCCCTCCTGCTGCACCTGCAGGACCCTCAAGCCCCGGTGGCTGGTGTGAGTGGCTGGGGGAGAGAGGGGCCGCGGGCTGGGGGGCTGGGCCCGGGGCCAGGGCTGAGCGCATGCGCCACAGGCCTGCAGGTTCGCTCTGCGCATGTGCGCCCGCAACCTGGAGTGCGAGGAGCTGGAGAACGTCTTCCGGCAGCACCTGCAGGAGGGGCGCGGCCTGCACTTCGGGGAGTTCCTCAACGCCGCCTGCCGGCCCCTGGTGAGGCGGGCCGGGCCGGGCCGGGCCGGGCCGACCCCGCTCGCGTGCCCAAGCCCGGCAGGGCTGACCCCGCTCCCGCTCCCGCTCCCGCAGATGCGCGGCTTCCCGGACCTGCTGGGTCGCCTGGTGAGCACGAGCCTGTTCTACTTCAAGAGCAGCTGGGAGGGCGTGCGCGCTGCAGCCCCGATGTTCACAGGTGGGCGCCCAGCCCCGCCCCGCTCCGCCCCGGTGCCCGCCCCCGCGCCTAACCCCGCCCCGCCCGCAGGGTTCCTGGTGCTGCACGCCGAGCGCGAGTACCTCCCGCAGGTGGACCTGGAGCAGCTCCTGGCGGGTGAGCCCCCTGCCCGACCTTCGCCCCCCCCCCCCCCCCCCCGAGTCCCCAACCTGCCTGGCCCGGCTGACCCCGTGGGCGCCCACGGGGACCAAGCGATTTTCCTGGATTTCAGGATTTTTTCCCTGTCACTGGTGACCTCATCGTCTCTAGTAATTCACGGAAACTTCTTAACTGTTCCAAAAGAGCTTAAAAAACACTAAAAAAGGAAAAACTATCTTTCCGTTGGCTCCTCGGCCCTCCCCGCAGAGGCCTGTCAGGAGGGCGGTGGGCGAGGCCCCGCCGCAGGCCCCGCACAGCACCGCCTCTCCCCTCCCCAGCGCTGCGGCTGCTGCTCCAGGACCCTGCCCCCCGCGTGCGGGCGAGCGCCGCCGAGACGCTGGGCCGCCTGGGGAAGTTCGCCTGAGCCCGGGCACCGCGCGAGCGCGCGCTGTGCCCACCCTGTTCTGCAATAAAGCGCTGCCCTCGGCGGGTGACGCGTGCCCCGTTCTGGAACGCTCGGCGCCGTGGTGGGAGGAACGAGGCAGGGCGGCAGGCACACGGCTGTATTGACCCGCGCCCGCCGCGGCCTAGGTGAAGAGGCGGACCGTGCCGTCCGCGCCCGCCGAGAACACCCAGGGCTGAGTGGGGTGGAAGGCGACGTCCAGCACGCCCAGGTCCCGGCTCAGCGCGTGGCCCTTCAGCACCTTCACGGGCACCAGCAGCGGGTTCTGCAGCAGGTCGCTGTGGGGAGGAGGGGCTCGCTGCAGACCAGGGCGGCGCGGGCGCGCGGGCGCGCGGGCGGGCGCGCGGGCGGGCGGGGCTCGGCACTCACTTGTACACCATGCCGTGGCACACGATGACGCTGCCGTCGTCGGAGCCGGATGCGAAGAGCGGGTACCGGGAGTGGAAGGCCACGGCCCGCAGGGCCTTCTTGTGGTGCCTGCGAGGGCGGGGCTGCTCAGGCGCGGGCGCGGGACGGGCCCAGCAGGCGCGCCCCACTGGCCGCGCCCCACTCGCCCGCCTCACCTCAGCACTTTGTAGGGCTTGGTGGAAAGGTCCAGGTCGAACCACACCAGCTTGCTGTCGTAGCTGCCACAGATGACGTTGTCCCCTGGGGGCCGGGACCCGCAGGGTGAGCGCTCCACCAGCAGGGCGCACACCCCAGGGGGCAGACACACCGCTCCCCTCACCCCAGGGGGTGCACACCCCCACACCGCTCACCCCAGGGTGCGCACACACACCTCTCCCCTCACCCCAGGGGGCACACACCCTCACCCGCAGGGGCACCCCACACCTTTCCCCTCACCCGCAGGGGCACCCCCACACCCTCACCTGCAGGGTGCACAGCCATGCTGGACACCCACTTGCAGTTGGGCATCAGCTTCTTGGTGAGCTCCTGCCGCAGCAGGTGGTAGACGCGGACGCTGCGCTGGGAAGCCACCAGCAGGAAGGGCCGGCTGGGGTGGAAGGCCACACGCTGCACCTGCCCGTGGCTACGGCGGAATGGACTCTGGCTGCGGCGCCGGCTCAGCTGGTGGAGCAGCACCTGGGTGTGGCCTGGGGTGGCCAGCACCACAGCCAAGTAGTCCCCACGTGCGTGCCACGTCACCTGTGTCACTGGCTGCAGGAAGACAGGGCTGGTGGCCGCGGGCTGGGGCCGGCACCCCCACCACACTCCCTCCCCGCCCCTGGCGCCCCACACCTTGTCGTGGCAGATGCGCAGCCGCAGGCCCCACTGGCGCTCCTCCTCGGAGACCTCCAGCCAGCGGGCGGGCTGCACGGCCGGCTCCTCGGCCGGGGAGAAGGCGCCCAGCAGCTGGTCCGTGCTGCCCACCACCAGCCGATCTCCCAGTAGCGGGTTCAGCAGCAGCACGCAGTCCTCCCTGGGGGCGGGGGCGGGGCCGGCCTTCAGCACTGCCCTCCCCTCCCAGCCCCCCCCCCCAGGACCTGCCCACTCACGTGGCTGCAGCCACCAGGCAGATGGTGGGGTTGGGGTTCCAGGCGACGCTCCTGACCACACCCCCCACAGACACGGTCCTCATGCAGCGGGCAGTGGCCACCTCCCAGAGCCGCAGCGAGCCGTCGTCCGAGCCTGGACCGGCAGAGGGGTCCTCAGCACCCAGCCCTCCCACCCTGCCACCCGACGCGGGGCTGTCCCCGCCACAGGCCCACCTGAAGCCAGCCACTGGCCCCCCGGGGAGACGCTGAGGCAGCGGACGAGGTCGCTGTGGCCCCTGTACACCTGCAGAGGAGGGGCCGTGAGCACAGACCTGCGGCTGCTGGGAGCCCCGGCCGTCACCGCCCCCACTCACCAGGGCCTGGCACGTGGGGAAAGGCTGCAGGTCCCTCGGCCGGGGCAGTTTAGGGATCAGGTCTTCAGGGTCCACGTTCACCTGGGAGACAGGCACCCGATCATTGTGGCCCCCACCCAGAGACGCCCCCCCGGGCGCCCCCCACGCACCCTCATCTTGCGCTGCCGGGGGCACAGGTACAGGTCGAGGCAGCGCTCGAAGCGCTCGTGGATGAAGCGGCCGTAGGAAGGCACGGCCCGGAGGCTGGGGAACTTGCGGGGCAGGAAGCTGAGCCTCCGCTCACCGGGCTCCTGCTGCTCCCACGTCAGGCGCTGTGCAGACAGGAGACAGGGTTGGGGGCACAGGTGGACGGGGCAGAGGGTGCAGCCCAGGCGCCCCCCCCCCGACAGGCTCACCTCCTCCTCGCTGAGCAGGTACTCGGGAGGGGGGTTGTAGGACTCAGCATGGCCGGGCAGCGCCAGCTTGGGTGCCGGCACGTGCATCTTGTGGCGCCCCAGCACGGCGTTGGGGTCCTCCTGCGCCCACAGATCGTAGAAGCTGGGGGTGGGGTCCCGGGGCCGGCGAGGCTGAATCCAGCCCATCTTGATGGCATGCACCATGCGGGAGACCTGCAGAGGGGGCTGGGTGAGGGTGGGCAGGGCAGGGCGGGCCGGGGGCCGGGGGCCGGGGCCGGGGCCGCTCGCACCTTCTCCTTCTCCACCAGGGAGGGGATGAAGCTGCGTTTGTCTGCCGGGCGGTTGGTCACTGGGTGGATCATGACGTCCCCGCTGAAGAAGTCCACAGCCGGCTGGGGAGACGGGCACAGGCGTTTGAGCTCGGGACTTGCGCCCCCCACCCAGGCCAGCTGCTGCCGCCTACCTCATAGGGGTCGGAGCCCAGGTCCGGGACTTGCGCCCCCCACCCAGGCCAGCTGCTGCCACCTACCTCATAGGGGTCGAAGCTCATGTCCCCAAACTGGCCCCTCTGCAGCCGCCGCACGAGGGCCACCTGCTCGTCCGTCAGCCGCACGTCTCGTCCTGTCAGCCGGTCCTGCACGGTGCGCCTGGGGGGCTTCCAGTCAGAGACCCTCCAGCCTGCAGGCCCAGCCCCTGCCGGCAGGCCCCTCTGCTTACCAATAGTCGGGGTCGTCCATCTTATCCAGGAACTGGTCCAGCTCATCCCGCGTCCGCAGGGGCTTGTAGATGCGCCTGCCGTCCAGGTCGTAGCCCACGTGGGGGAAGTCGGCGTACCACTCCAGGGGCACGTTGCCCACGGTGTTCCGGATATCCTGCGGCCACCAGCCACAGCGGCATCAGCACCTGACCACGTGCCCTTCCCCTGGCCCTGGGGTCTGACGTGGCACTGTGGCCGGCGCTGCCCCCCCCCCCCGGCGCCGGAGCTGCACCTTCACATTTTCCACTGAAGTGGTGCCAACCCCAGAGCTCCCCCCGCCTCGGATTCCTTGGCCAGGGCTCTGGGCAGCCACAGACAGGGATGACCTCATCGCCCGTGGGCTCCCTCCCCTGGCAGGGGCCTGAGGAAGAAGTGGGCAGCTACAAGGCAGGGAGCAGGGGAGACCCCACCGGCCTACTCCACAGGGAGCCCGAGGCCACTGCGTTCTGCCAGGAGGTGGCCGGTGCCCCCAGCCGCCTCCCTGGGGTGGGCCCTGCAACCACATTCCCGGACACATTCCTGGTTGCAGCCCCTGCCAGCCACCACCCTCACTCCTCCCAGCATGGGCACTGCTGCCCAGGCGGCCACTTCCTGCAACAGTAGTGCGAAGGGGGAGGGCGGCCCCTCTGAGGCCGTCGGGGACCCCAGGGCTCAGCCCCCATGCACCCCTCGCAGAGAATGTCCTTCCCTCTCCCCTGGGGCAGGAGCCTGCAGCACCCTCCATGGCTCCGGGGCCCCACCCAGAGCAGACAGACCCCGGGAGTGCATGTGTATTCCAAGGGGGCTGGCCCAGCCCAGGCGGGTGGGGAAGGGTCTGTGACGTGGGAAGCAGAAAGGAGAGGGGCAGTGAGTTCTAGGAAGCCGGGGCTGGCCCAGCCCGCAGGGGCAGGTGCAATACAGGCTGTGCCCGCCCCCCAGGCTCGAGCCTCTGGGCTGCAGCCGCCAGGGCTGGGGCCGAATCCCTCCCCTTCGTCGTGGCAGAAGGCCTGAGTGCCCAGGCAGGGGGAGACAGGCAGGCCGGGTGCGGCCAGGGCCTGGATCAGGGCAGCTGTGCTAGCTCTGTGGGGCCGGGGTCCTCATGGACCCTCCCCCGCCCCCGGGGGGAGGGGGGAGGGGCAGGCGCTGCGCCGTCTTGGGGACTCCCACTTCCCCCCACCTGGAGACTGGAAGGCGCCCCCAAGACCTGCGCCCCAGAAGTGTGGCCTCGGGGAGGCACAGGGACAGCGGCCCCGCCGGCCTCCAGGGGCTGGGGGAGGGGCGGGGCGGGGCGGGGCGGGCGGCCGGCGCGGGGGAGGGGCCCTGCCGCTATAAAGGCGCGGCTCACCGCCCCGCTCCAGCCCGGGACGCACGTGTGCGCGCGGCCCGGCAGCCGCCACCGCGGGGCGCAGCCGAGACCCCGCGCCTCCCCGGCCCCGGGCGGCCCGCGAGGCCCGCGGCGGCCGCAGGCGGCGGCATGCGCGGCGCGCGGCGGAGCTGACGCCGGCCCCCGGCCCAGCCCTCGCCATGCTGCGCTCGGCGCCGCCGGGCCGCTACCTGTACCCCGAGGTGAGCCCGCTGTCGGAGGACGAGGACCGCGGCAGCGAGAGCTCGGGATCCGACGAGAAACCCTGCCGCGTGCACGCGGCGCGCTGCGGCCTCCAGGGCACCCGGCGCAGGCCCGGGGGCCGGCGGGCAGGGGCCGGCGGGCCGGGGGCCGGGGGCCGGCCGGGCCGCGAGCCCCGGCAGCGGCACACGGCGAACGCGCGCGAGCGGGACCGCACCAACAGCGTGAACACGGCCTTCACGGCGCTGCGCACGCTCATCCCCACCGAGCCGGCCGACCGCAAGCTGTCCAAGATCGAGACGCTGCGCCTGGCCTCCAGCTACATCTCGCACCTGGGCAACGTGCTGCTGGCCGGCGAGGCCTGCGGCGACGGGCAGCCGTGCCACGCGGGGCCTGCCTTCTTCCACGCAGCGCGCGCGGGCAGCCCGCCGCCCCCCGCTCGCGACGCCGAGAACGCGCAGCCCAAACAGATCTGCACCTTCTGCCT